TCTCGTCGCAGCTCAGACCAATGAATGGACTCGAATCGATGAATTCTCTCTGGCGCGCACGAAGGTATGTCGCTATTGCGGCGGTGATCTCCTCGAATCCGTACCTGCACGGGCATCAACGGGTGTGGTCAGAGATAGCTGCAAATATATCACAACCCGCGCCGATTTGAACAAGAGCAGTGTCACTTACGTCGTGTAGTAGGCACCATAACTGCTCTTTGGGAAGCCCGGTGTGCCACGCTGCGCTAGATGTTGGACGAGGTCCACGTACATCTCGATCGGGGCGTCGGACTTAGCGATGAAGAGTGCCGTCTCAAAAAGCGCGAGCAGGCGCTCCTTCTCCACGTCTTTCACCTTCGGGTTGCCGTCAATCCGGCGGTTAGCTTTGAGAGCCGCCTCGGCTGTCTTCTATCTGCGCACAGCGCGGCGGTGCTTCCTTGTGCGCTGATGCTTCCGCATCGCCTGGGTCTGCACATCGGTCGCCCCTTCTCCTTTGGCGCCGAAGTTCGGCCCCGTACCGGCGTGCGCAATGCAGACCTTGCACTTGATTGACGGGAACCCTGCACTATTCTGCAGCAGAACAAGCGACGGGTAGTCGTCAGACCATTGTTTGTTGAACATTAATAAGGCCTCTTGGTATATCTCCTCGGCAATGTCGGGCAGTTCTGTATCGGAAGACACCTCAACCGCTTTCCCCTTCATTTTACGCTGACGGGCCTTCGGGGAAGAGTTCCCCACACCGGACGTTGGCGTAGCTTGACTGGAACCCCACTGGATCTTTGTCTGGTGGTACCTCACTTTGATACCCCTTTTAAGACGTGGGCCTTGCCGAGTAGTTCCGGCAGCGATAGGCTGACGGTTCCGTGTGGGTTCGAGAGCGGCACGTGTTGATCCGACAGCGTCAGGAGTTGATGCGGCAGCGACAGGCGTTGATGCGGCAGCGACAGGCGTTGATGCGGCAGCGACACGAGTTGATGCTGCAGCGACAGGAGGTGATGCGGCAGCGCCGACATGCGTCGAACACTCGCCCTGCGTCCAGATGGTAGGTGCCTCGGGGCCAGAGGAAGGGAACCGAACGGTTTGAGCTGATGGCGGGACTAACGCGGGAGCAGCTGAAGCTCGTCGTAAAAAGTCTAAGCCAGTAAGGGCGGCTGGCTTCGTGCCTGCCATGGGCGGAGGGCCGTCACCTGCGGGCGTCGAAGCCGCCATGGCTGCTTTGTCGTGAGAATAGGCAAAAGAGGGGATTTGCACTAGCAACAACGGTGGTACAAATAGCTAACCCTAGAAGGGCTGTACTCGCTATAGAGCACCCCACTGCAGGCTAGAGCATAATATTCTGACACACCCCCATAGCCAAAGTGGGGTGTAATCAGCACAGCAAGCAAAGCAGTACAAGCTCAGGGTGGATCACGATGTCACCACACATTCTGAGCACATGAACAAGAAGCAAAAGTTTAAAGTTCACAATTATGGGTAAAGCTAAAGCTGTCACAGAGGGCAAGCGAGGAGGAGGAGGGCTGGTGAGATGAGAGAAGAGTGGAGGCGACGACTGAAGCTGCAGACACTCGGGCAACAGACGGCTCTGGTGCAACACTGGTGGCTACCGGGAGGAGAAAGGCCCCGGAATACAGGAGTAACAGGCTCTGCAACTGATCAGCCAGCGACAGTAGCAACGGACCCACGGGCGACAGGTGCAACCGGCTCTCTGAGCTACCGGGAGGAGAAAGGCCCCGGAATACAGGTGCTGCGGACGACACGACGGCAACCTCCGCTCAACCTCCTCCAACTGCCCCACACACCCCCCACACACCCACTGCTGAAACCCTAGCTCCATTCCCACGGCACCCCCCTTAAACCCTAAACCCTCGGCTCCCACACACCACCCCCCTCAGCGGCAGCTGCAGTAGAGGGAGACTAGGGAGGAGGAGGAGTAGGGGGAGGAACTCACAACCGACACCCCCATAGCCGCCACCCCCACACTCCTCACCCCCAAACCCTAAAACGGGCGAAAGGGGAAAGGAGCACGGGGGACGACGAGGGGGAGGGCGCGCGGCCACCAGGGCGCCACCACCAGGCAGCGAGGGGCCGTGCGCGGCTCCCCAAAGCGCCGCGACGGGAGATCGGGGCCGCGGGGGGTCGCGGGCGGCTCCCCAGGGCGGCGCGACGGGAGATCGGGGCCGCGGGGGGTCGCGCGCGGCTCCCCAGGGCGGCGCGACGGGAGATCGGGGCCGCGGGGGGTCGCGCGCGGCTCCCCAGGGCGGCGCGACGGGAGATCGGGGCCGCGGGGGGTCGCGCGCGGCTCCCCAGGGCGGCGCGACGGGAGATCGGGGCCGCGGGGGGGTCGCGCGCGGCTCCCCAGGGCGGCGCGACAAGAAATCGGGGGCGCGCGGGGGTCCCCCACGGTAGGAAACCGCCGCGCGCCTCGGGGCGCACGGCGGGCAGAAAACCGCCGCACGCCCCGAGCGCGCGGCGGGATGAAAAATCCGTCGCACGCCACGGGGCGTGCGACACAGACTATAGTTGTAGCAGCGGAAGACTTAGGTGACGGGCCCACCCACAGGATCGACCGAACAGGATCGTCCTGCTCTGATAGCATGTCGTGAGAATAGGCAAAAGAGGGGGTTTGCACTAGCAACAACGGTGGTACAAATAGCTAACCCTAGAAGGGCTGTACTCGCTATAGAGCACCCCACTGCAGGCTAGAGCATAATATTCTGACATGCTTAGCGCTGCTGAGCGTGCCGAGCTTGAGGGAGAAGCTACACACAACTTCAGCTCGAACATCACTTCCTGCAGGGGTTCACGAGGAGTGCAGGAACAGAATGAGGGAGCAGATGGGGGTACCCCCTCTCCCTTGCCGCCATGGCGAGGGATCTTGGTCCAGGCCAGGGTTTCCGTCTTTCCAGGCAAGATGAGAACACCCCCACTCCACTGCCATCCATGGCGTGTTGGCGTGGATTCTGCCACCAGTGGTGTGTTGTCTGTGTTCTCGTTGGGCAGTTGTGAACTAGGTTAACCGTTCTCTGGTGTGATGGCTTCCAGCGCGGCAAAACGGTTCGGCGCGCACAAGCTGTAAATACAGCGCATGTGATAAGATTCCAAGTGTGTGAGTGGGGTGAGGTTTCGTGAATCACGCGAAGGAACAGTCTGTACACGTGTCGCGTACCCCTCCCCCCCCCCCCCCCCCGCGCGGTCAAATCCGTTTCAGGGTGACGCACTGAAGTATACTGATTTGTTAGTGTTACTTGTTCAGAAACACACAAAAACGTCAGTGTGGCAAAATCACATTTACTGAAATTTCAGCCCAAAATGGAAGCTTGTACTGATTTTTCAGGGAAAACAAAATTCAGAGCTACAAAATCAGCGTAATCAGCGTGTTTTACGCTGATATCTGAGGCCCTGCCAGCCACTAACCACTGGGATAAAAGGGCTTGTTTGTGTAGCGGGTGAGTGCGCCCATAACCCCCCAGGCTGACGTGCCTGTAACCCTTCCCTAGGATCGATCGGGAATTTCCAGTGGAACTCAGACAAGTTAATGGTCGCTCATGCTTTTACTCGCAATGTGCCTCTTCTTTTAGGCGCGTCGTGAAGAGGGTGGGGGGGTGGGAGGTATCAGAATCCCAGCCACTAACCACTGGGATAAAAGGGCTTGTTTGTGTAGCGGGTGAGTGCGCCCATAACCCCCCAGGCCAATGTGCCTGTAACCCTTCCCTAGTATCAACGGGGGATCTCCAGTGGACCTCTGACACCCCCCCGCACTGGGATGCCCGAAGTGCATACACCGGGATTCGAACCCGAGACCTTCGCTCTGATACCATGTCAGAATCCCAGCCACTAACCACTGGGATAAAATGGCTTGTTTATATAGCGGGTGAGTGCGCCCATAACCCCCCAGGCCAATGTGCCTGTAACCCTTCCCTAGTATCAACCGGGGATCTCCAGTGGACCTCTGACAGGAGGAGGGGAGGGAAGCATTTCATGCCCTAGAGAGCAAAACCGCTTTGAGGTGGGGGAAAATAGAAGACCTTTTAGTGAGGGGGTAATTTTCCACAACTCTAGCATTCTAAACCTTGCTGTCTGTACACTTTCGCCTAAGATACAAATTTGTACACTTGCTACGTTCCCAATGTTAGGCCCGCTAACACCTAGATGGACTCTTGAGAAAAGGGACTTCTAGTGGTTTGAGGTCCCAATCACACGTGTCCGTCACCACCCTCAAATTCCTCGCTGAGAGCAGCACACGGACACCCGTCGATTCTTTCCTCCCCACATCCTCAACCAGTGCGGGAGCCTCCAGGACGACCTGAGCCACAAAGTTTAGCAGGGCAGCTTTAGCCGCCAAATGGAAGGGGAATCTTCCCACGTCATCATACACGACTGTCCCCGAACCTAGACACCTCATCAAACCAACCGTCCACCCTTCTTCCCGCAGACCTGGTTCGCTCCAATCTCGATGTGCCCTTTTCATGCTCCTCCCCCAAAGCACCCACCCCTCCCAATTCCAACCAGTCCCCCCAGATCAGAGCCATGTTTTGATCCAATAGCGTAGTTGTTGGTGTGACACAATTCAAACTTTACGCATTGCTGTACCAACGAATAACGCCAGCCTCCCAGCCTCATCAACCTTGCCATTCTAAGTAAGATATGGCCCTTTGTGCTGGCGTTGGTGCTCGATTGCATTGTCCCGGACTTAATTCGCCGGCCACGTCAGACTGCTCTACCACCTGCAGTCGCAAGGAGCCTCGATCGCAGCGCGTGCTTGTGCCGCGGACGAGCGGATCGCAGACAGTCAACAGCGGATCGCTCGCCCATCTCTGCCGCGAGCAGTGCGCTACCCGACGAGGCGTCACGCGGTGTGACGGGTCTACGCAAGTCGACCAGCACCCGACAGCGCGCTTGGCTGCAGCTGAGCCAAATCAAGGTCATGGCTTCATTACGCGCGCACCTGCGAACGGGCGCGTTACAACACGGATAACGGTAATTGCTCCAATGGGGCTGCAATGTCCGACGATGGGAACAGTGGCGGCGCGGACGTGGCGGTGCTAAGCTGGCCCGAGGCGAGGTTGGAGGTAGAGCAGGCGAGCAAGGACGGTGCGCACGAGCAAGGAGTAGGCACGGGCGACGCCAAGGGTCTGGGCATCGTGGAATTCCTGCGGGGCAAGCACATCCTCGTCACCGGCGCCACCGGATTCCTCGCTAAAGGTGACGCCTTGTTTGTTCACCATGCTTTCAGCGCTAATTTAGGCGACTTGGCAGTTAATCAGCCAGTGATCCCGCCCAATCCGCCGCACCATTCCCGTGCGTGGTTGGCAGCCCTGGTGGAGAAGATTCTGCGCGAGCAGCCCGACGTGGGACGCCTGTACCTCTTCATCCAGCCGCGTGCGGACCAACCCGCGCAACAGCGCCTCGAGCAGGTACCCCTTCTCCACCCGCACGACTGCTCCCCTCCCTCCCAAGCTCCTTAAAAGCAACGCACTCGGACACACCAGAAAAGGCGTGAACATCCCATTAACGCGGGAATTTGGAGACAGGAAACTCATAGCTCTCTCTGTGTTGTCACCTGTCTGCACGGTTTAGGGTTGGTTAAAGGCAGTCTTGCTTTTTGCGAGATCAAATGCTTATACGCAACTGGTCTGACATTACCTTGAACCTTACGATTGTCGCAAAAGTCCACTAAGCTCGTTACACTCCTTTAACTCACAGCTACGGCACGCTTAACGTGCGAATCCTTAATGCAGCAGAATTTGGACTTTCTGCCACATTATATCTCCCTCCGTCGCGCCCTCGCGCCTTACCTCCCTTCCTCCCGCCCGCCCACCCTACCTCCCTCCTTCTCACCCGCCCACCCTCCCTCCCTCCCTCCCGCCCGCCCACCCTACCCCCCTCCCTCCCACCCGTCCACCCTACCTCCCTCCTTCCCACCCGCCCACCCTTCCTCCCTCCCTACCATCCGCCCGCCCTCCCTCCCTCCCTCCCTCCCTCCCTCCCTCCCTCCCTCCCTCCCTCACTCCCTCCCTCCCTCCCTCCCTCCCTCCCTCCCTCCCTCCCTCCTCCCTCCCTCACTCCCCTCACTCCCTCCCTCCCTCCCTCCCTCCCTCCCTCCCTCCCTCCCTCCCTCCCTCCCTCCCTCCCTCCCTCCCTCCCTCCCTCCCTCCCTCCCTCCCTCCCTCCCTCCCTCCCTCCCTCCCTCCCTCCCTCCCTCCCTCCCTCCCTCCCTCCCTCCCTCCCTCCCTCCCTCCCTCCCTCTCTCTCTCTCTCTCCCTCCCTCCCTCCCTCCCTCCCTCCCTCCCTCACTCACTCACTCACTCACTCACTCACTCTCTCTCCCTCCCTCCCTCCCTCCCTCCCTCCCTCCCTCCCTCCCTCCCTCCCTCCCTCCCTCCCTCCCTCCCCCCCTGCCTCCCTGCCTCCCTTCCTGCCTTCCCTCCTTACCTGCCTGCCTCCCTCCATCCCTCCCTCCATCCCTTACTTCCTGCCTCCATTGCTCCCTCCCTCCTGCACTCAGACTACAAACCAACATAACACGCACTCGCACACAATCACACACACCCTCCTGCTCCACACCACACACTCCTCTCCCCCTCATGAGTGTCGTTTCATCCTCCTCCTCGTTCTTGCTCACTGCTGCAGCTCGTGGAGAGCCCAATATTCGGGCATCTGCGGTCAAAGCACGGCAGTGCGTATGAGCAGTTCATGGCAGCAAAGCTCGGTGCAGTGGAGGGGGATATTTCCATAGAGGGGCTTGGTCTGAGCGCGTCTGTGTTGGAGGAGATCCGCAGCAAGGTGCAGGTGGTGATCAACTCCGCTGCCACCACCACCTTCGACGAGAGGTACTTCTCAAATTCTATCCACTCGTAAAAATACCTTAAGTGTGTCTAAACGTTCGGATCTTTCTGAATAAACCATGTGACATGCCTATCCCTTTCCTTTTCTGCGCTTACCCTGTATCCCCCACGTCCCCCCCTCTGTGCTGTCCTTTTTCAATGCAGGTACGACGTGGCCCTGAACATCAACACGCAGGGACCGCGCCGCCTTCTGGAGCTCGCCCATTCCTGCCCATACCTCCAGCTCCTCCTGCACGTCTCCACAGGTTCACCTCTCCTCAAACTCTTGTAGCTCAGCAGGTCTTTCCAGTCCCGCACGCACGTTTGAATTTTTTTTTTTTTGTAAAGACCACAAAATCTGGTATGTGTATGTGTACATGCATATATATTTCGTTTCCCGGGTGTGCAGCATTTGTGAACGGCAGAAGGCGCGGTCGCTGCATGGAAAGGCCCTTCAACTATGGGGACACCATTGCTGCAGAGCTGCAGCAGCAGCAGGGTACGGTTGCACAGGGGCAGCTGGATATCGAGACAGAAATAGCTCTAGCGGAGAAGGAAAGGCTGGCGGCAGAGGCAGCAGCTGAAGCGCAGGGAATGAGCAAGGAGGATGTGCAGGCTGCAGTGCAGAAGCACATGGTGGACCTGGGTATGAGCAGGTTCGTCCGCTGTCCGCTCCCTTGCACCCACAAGTAGTCTCTGTCATTTCTCACTTATCTTGGCCTTGCATTCTGACCGCCCCAGCTTGTTCTGCTGTATTATTCCCTGTGTACCCGTTGACCAGGGCACAGCAGTGCGGGTGGCAGGACACGTATGTGTTCACCAAGGCCATGGGCGAGATGGTGCTTACGCGCGGACACAAAGACTTGCCCCTTGCTATCGTGCGCCCATCCATAGTCGAGAGCTGCTTGAATGAGCCCATGGCAGGCTGGATGGAGGGCATGCGGTGAGTCATGTTGGCCAGTGCAACACTTGCAGGCATTGCGTCTAAATACGTTACCTGAAAATTCCCGCTTTACATTTTCAATCTCATGTCTTGTCTTTTGTGGAAACTCGTGTTTTTAGATCAGTCGTTCACGGACTTCTTTATTCTTTGTCAAATAATTTTCTGACCTTCAAAACTGCTTGCACACTTTTTTCACCTGTTGTTTGACGTTTGACCATTTTTACTTTAGGCAGTATGGCGGATCCAATCTTGCTTGCATACGGGAAAGGACAAATGGCAGGGTTTTTGGCAAACCCGGATGGTGTACTTGACATGGTACGATGGTGCTGATACCAGACTTTCTGCATTTTCTGATACCGTGTGATGCCTGTACGCAGAGCTAGTCTCATGCTTACTACGATGACTGCATGCAGTTATCTTTCACTGTGTTGCAAAAGTTTCCATTCTCATTAGCATGCCCATTGGCTTGTGGCTTGTTGAACTAATGGTATGCTTTGCATGTCTCTCCCCCATGCAGATTCCATGTGACAAGGTTATAAATGCCGTGCTAGCGATCGCAACGCACACAGCATCTCTGGGGTATGGGGCACCCGTGTCTGTGTACCACGTGGCCACCAGTGTGGCCAACCCTCTGGGCATCCAGCTGGTGGCAGACGCCACCTCGGACCACTTTGCCCACGCGCCCATGCTGCAGCGCGATGGCTCCGCTGTCACCGTGCAGCGCATGCAGGTGTTCCGCCACCCGCAGCTCTTCATGCTTGACGTCTGGCTCAAGTACCAGCTGCCATTGCAGGTGCGTGCGCATCAAATGCGGTGGGGTGCGAGCTATAAGTGAGCTCGACTTGACCACAGCAAATGGCAGAACCCGATCAGCTGCAGGGGCGATATTATGGGACGAAAGCCAGTAGAGCACAGGTAGTTTTTTGGTACAGCAGTAACGATTTCATATTCTTTTTTTTTGTCTCGTGTCCCTTGTACGTGCAGCTAGCCAAACTCTTCCCTTGGAACTCATCCCTTTCGGATCGCCGCAACAACCTTCTCCTGAAGACAGCACAGCAACTCAGCTACTTGGCCAAGCTATATGAACCCTACACCTTCTATGCTGCCAGGTACTGCTTCTGCTTGTAACCCCAATTTTCATTTCCCCTAGCCTTCTTTGGAGATCGATGAGTTCATTATCCTCAAATGTCCTCAAGTTCGTTCATGATCTTATCTTGTTGCATCCAGGTTTGATGCATCCAACACAGAGCACCTCTTTTCGTTGATGTCTGAGGAGGAGCAGCAGCACTTCAACTTTGACCTGCGGTCCATTGACTGGCACACTTATCTCTGTAATACCCATCTACCAGGCTTGCGCAAGTTTGTTCTCAAGGGACGCGGTTCATCCAATCTTTCCTGAACAAAAACTTGCCCTGCCCTTAATTGACTCTCTTTTAGATGTGTTACTTTCCATCAGGCAAGTGTATCCTAGTCAATAAGGACGTCCTGCATTATGTCATGTTATACATTATCAAAATAGGCTGTGGTGAGATATATTGTAGAGGGTACAACTCTTTCTAGGGTTGCTATTTGTATCACCCACCTCACTAGTCAATTCATTCCGCTATGCATCACTCTGGTATCACACATACTGTAGGTACGTTCCTAACCTAACTTAGCTCGCCCGTGCTCCGGTGCCTTGCCTATCTCGCTCCGAAGTAGCTCCCCTCCGTCGTCGCTCTGTTGTCGCTCCGTGTTAGCACCCCGCCCCTGCTACGTGCGCGCCTAGCCCCTGCCACGCCAGCGCGTCGCCCCTGCTTAGCGTGCGCGACCCGCCCCTGCCAGACCAGCTCGCCGCCCCTGCCAGACCAGCTCGCCGCCCCTGCTTAGCTCGCGCCCTGCCAGACCAGCTCGCCGCCCCTGATTATCGCGCGCCCTGGCAGAGCAGCGAGCGCCACCCGGCAGAGAAGCGCGTGTCCCACCAATATGGTCTGATGGTCTAGACCAAATCTGGGAGTTCATCGAACCCTAGACCGATGAGACCACACTGAGACTGTAGCGCATCGACCAAAGTTTTACCAGGACCTGCTCTTTGTTCAGCGCTAACTCGTATGAGGAGTCTGAAACTACTCTCTTAAAAATGTATGTCTTCGAAAAATATCTCGGTATTGGGTAACCCAGCAGTGTTTGCCCAGGGGTGATGAAATTGGCCCTAGTGAAGTTGGCGCGGGCTAGGTGTACGTCTCCTTGGGACTAGTTACCAGCAAGAAGTCCGTACCTACCATGCTACGCATCCTGGAAATGCAAAATGATTACACGCCCTAACTTTGCAGGCGTTAGGGCAATTTGCCCTGCAGTCGTGGTGTCGTGGGCTGTACTGTACCTGTTCGTGAGTTTTGCACCTGTAGATCGCTCTGACCGCCCTCACACTCCACCACCAGTGCGCATGGAGGATTCGTCAAGCGAGGAGCGGGCCGTGTGGCAGTGCGAGGACGTGCTGGCGCGGCTATGGGCGAGCGGCGCGTTCGACGACGCGAAGAGCATCGTGGACATGGCGGTGCTCACTGGCGTTGACGCCATCAGGCTCGCGCTCACTGCAGGTGAGGGATGCCGCGGGATGGGGAAGACCTGTGTGGGGGCACGGAGGAGCGTGGGACTCTTGGAAGTAGGATGGGATGGAATGGTGGATGGGAGGGAATGGTGAGCACTTAAAGCTGTGGCAATGCCGTGCCGTGGGGAAGCTATGAAGTTTCGCTTCCTAGTCCTGGTTTATTTCCATTCGCGCCTCGCTCAGCTACTCGCTTGCCGGCCCACCTCTGCACGCCATCCTCGTCGCCCTCTTCCCCGCCGTCCTCACCCGGACGTGCCTCTCTCCACGCGCGCTGCCCTTATCCCCTCAGCCAACGAGCTATCAGCAGAGGAAGCTCGGCGAATCGTGTCACAGCACCTGGCGCCAGCAGGCGCGGATCTTCATGCCTTCACACCCCCTGACTTCCATCCACATCCGCCCTCCTTCCTCCCGCGTGTCGTCCACCCGCCAACCCGCCAGTGGGCTCTCTCCGTGCATCGCCTCTGGCCACTTCTCTCCTTCCGCACTGCCCCTCCTTCCACCGCTGCTGCCACTGCCACGGCCTCCCATCCTGTGCGCACCCTTCCAACCAGTCCCAGCACGCAACCCCCCTGTGCGGATCCAAAGCGCAGTGCAGGGGGGGAACGGGAAGTTGACGTGGGGGCAGCGCCTGAGGTGCAGCAGCAGGATGACGCGGGGCAGGGGAGGGGAGCACCGCATGATGGGCTAGTGATGCAGGGAGGCTCGCTGCTGGCGCTGCCACATGCGCCGGTGATAATACCCGGGGAGAGGTTCAGGGAGATGTACTACTGGGACACTTACTGGGTCATCAGGTGCGGGCTGGGTCATCAGGTGCGGGCTGGGTCATCAGGTGCGGGCTGGGTCATCAGGTGCGGGCTGGGTCATCAGGTGCGGGCTGGGTCATCAGGTGCGGGCTGGGTCATCAGGTGCGGGCTGGGTCATCAGGTGCGGGCTGGGTCATCAGGTGCGGGCTGGGTCATCAGGTGCGGGCTGGGTCATCAGGTGCGGGCTGGGTCATCAGGTGCGGGCTGGGTCATCAGGTGCGGGCTGGGTCATCAGGTGCGGGCTGGGTCATCAGGTGCGGGCTGGGTCATCAGGTGCGGGCTGGGAACGCTCTCACAGCTGTCAGCATGTCATGTTTGGCTCAGCCGTGCAGAGCGGTGCCCGCAGCAGCAACTGCTAATCGCAGCGCACTTGTGTTGTGTGCCCGTCCCCATCCCCGTGGTGCATGCATGAGCAGGGGGCTGCTGGTGAGCGGCATGCTGGACTCCGCCCTGGCGGCTGTGCGCAACCTGCTGCATCTTGCCCGCACGCACGCCCATGTCCCCAACGGCTCGCGCGCGTACTACCTCAACAGAAGGTCGCTCCGCTCCACCAGCACTCCTGCTCTTCTTCCCCATCGCCTCGTCTGCGTACATCATCACCCCATATTTCCCAGCCTTTTCCCATCTTACACTCACTTAATTATACTCCCCTCTCTCTCCCCTGTTCTCCTCCTCCCCTCTCCCTTCTCCCTCCCCTGCATGTGGCAGCCAGCCGCCACTGCTGAGTAACATGGTGCGTGCAGTGCATGCAGCGCTGCAGGCGCAGGGGCAGGGAGAGCAAGGCCAGCACGCACAGCAGGATGGGGAGGCGTCAGCGTGGAGTGAGGGCGCACGCATGGGGCGCAGCGAGCAGGCGGAGAGTCTGTTGCGGGAGGCACTGCCAGTGCTGGTCAGGGAGCATGAGTTCTGGACGCAAGGTGAGAGGTTGAGCAAGCTGGGGTACAGCCATGTATAGGTCGCAAGTGATGCAACCACCGTCGCAACTGCTTGTGTGCTGAGATGTGTCCATGCGTCGTTGGACCCTTGCATGCTGCCACAAGGCTGTGATGCAGGGAGAGGGCGGGTATTGCCTTGCATTTTTTATCTTGTCGCATTGATTCTGTTCTTGCTGTCATGCCACCCGCACACCACCTGGACTCACGGGTGCCCCAACAGCACCGCATGGCATCACAGTGTACCACCCTCCCTCTGGGCGCTCGTTCAACCTCTCCCGCTACTATGCCATGTGGACCCACCCTCGCCCTGAATCCTTTCCTCAGGTGCCATTCTGCTTCCCCCAGTTGGCATTCTCATTCCCTCATGTTCTAGTCTTTCTTAAGTTCCGTTTCCTTCTCTCAGGCTCTCCAGGTGTCTTTTCTTTCCGCAGACACCTCCTGTCCGTGATGCATGTGTCCGTGTATGAGTGCCACTGCCTTTAGCTGTCACCATGTGTGTGTGTGTCTCACCACGCACTGCAAGCCCTCCTCCCTGCCAGGACACGGAGACAGCGCGCGTGGCATCGCAGCGTCCCCTGGAGCATCTGCAGCACGGCACCTCGCCGCGCGGTGCCGCGCAGGTGCAGGCGGCGTTGTTCAGGGAGCTGGCCACGGTGGCAGAGTCGGGCTGGGACTTCAGCTCGCGCTGGATGCGGTCCGTCGCTCCACTTCCCCCCCTCTCCCCCTCCCCGCCCCAAAACTGCTCCTCTAATTCTTTTTAACCTCTACCTTTGTCTTTCCTCCCCTTGACATGCTCCCCCAGCATATGTGAAATCTTCATTGTGTTGCCTCTCGCTCTCTTCACCCCACTGCTTTCATCCCCATCATGCTGCTCTTCCCCTGCACGCTCTCCCTCGTCCCTACTGCCCTCTCCAATGCCATCGCTCATGCCACGCTTCATCCCTGCCTCGCCGTTCCGCCGCACCCTTGTGTCTTGCTGTCCGCACAGTGACCCCAGCGACTTCACGAGCAGCCACCCCACGGCAGTACTGCCAGCGGACCTCAATGCGCTGCTCTTCCAGCTCGAGACCAACGTCGCTGCGCTCGCCACCTTGCTGCTCTCCACCCTCTCCTCCCCCCACGATGCCGCTGCTGCGCCTGCTGAGGTGATAGCACAGCCCCTCTCCCTGCTGCTTCTTTCTGCCCCTCTTCTGCACCTCTCCTGCATTCGCTGTCGCCATGCCTGCTCCATGATTCCGTCCATCCATCCCCGCTACCCTGCTCCCTCACCGTGCTCTCCACTGCCATGCCGTCACAGCAGGGGGCAGAGGCGGCAGCAGTGAGTGGCGCGTGGCTGGCAGAGGTGGCGGCGCGCTTTGGGGAGCTGGTGGAGCGGAGGAGGGAGGCCATGGACGTCATGATGTGGTGCCAGGGGGAGCACAGACAGGGGGGAGGAGGGGTGGGTGACGCAGCAGCAGAGGGAGGAAGAGTGGCAGATGGTGGCAACGAGCAAGTGGGGCGATGGAGGGATGTCTGGATCCAACCGGGGAGCAGGGGTGTGGAGGAAGGTGGCACTGCTGCAGATGCTGTGAGTGTGGGTGAGGGGCTGCAGCAGGGCCAGCATCGGTGCATGTGAATGCGGTGCATGTGAGTGCGGTGCATGTGAGTGCGGTGCATGTGAATGCGGTGCATGTGAGTGCGGTGCATGTGAGTGCGGTGCATGTGAATGCGGTGCATGTGAGTGCGGTGCATGTGAATGCGGTGCATGGAGTTGGTAAGCAGAGGGAAACTAAATTGTTATCTGATCCTTCATGCACATCTCCATCCTTCCAGCACATGTCCATCCTTCATGCACATCTCCATCCTTCCAGCACATGTCCATCCTTCATGCACATCTCCATCCTTCCAGCACATGTCCATCTCTCACAACCACCAGTGCTATCCCATGTGTTTTTGCACCCTCCCTCCTGCTCCAGGCGGCTCATGAATGGGTGGCTGTGGCACCACATTGTGACACCAGCGCTTGTGCCAGGTACAAGATGCCGTGCACCAGTAGCCCCTCCTTCACCCAGACTCCCATTCCCATTGTCTCACCACATCCACTCCAACCCGCCACTCGCAATCACCTTCCTTCCAGCACGTAATGCACAAAACAGCCCCAATACCGTTTTGCCTCCACCACATACAACCTCCCCCATCCACACACCTAGTGAAACCTTGCAGGCCCAAGTGCATTGTGCGTACAACCCATCACACCAGTGGGTCATGGCACCCACGGATCTGTGCCTAGAGGCTGCTTGGTGTTTCTCATAATGCACGTCCCTGCCGTCCTACCTCATAGCGCGCACCGCCCCACCTGTGACTGTTTGCGGCCATTCCCCTTGTCATTCGTGCTGTGGTGCAGCAGCGGAGGGGCCGTGCAAGGGACTGCGCCATCAGGCGATGTGTATGCATCGGACTACATCCCCCTGTGGTGCGGCCTCCTGCCTCCTGGTACGTGCAGCTGGGTCACCATGGCCTCCCTTGCTTTGTGTTGTGCCGCACCCTCCACCTCCCCACCATGCATGTGCCTTGGGCCTCCGCCTGCCACTCACCGCTCTCACCCCGCTGTGCCCCACTGGCCCCATTATCCACAGGTGACCCTCGTATTGACCTTGTCGTTGCCTCGCTGCAATCCTCCAATCTGTTGCTGCCAGCTGGCATTGCCACGTCAACGCGATTCACGGGGCAGCAGTGGTGAGTCATTGCTGCATGCAGAGCTGTGTTCTGCCCTGTACACACACCGTTCACCCACCTGCAATCTACTCAACTTACCTCAACTCCATCCAAACGCTTCCCGTCTGGTCTGTTCTGTTCTTGTACTGCCTTCCCTCCATCCATTCCTCCCTCTCCTCGCTTCTTCGGACTGTTCCATTTCTTGCCCTCTGATCCTCACTCTGCCCTGCCCATCGTCTCACCAGGGACTACCCCAACGTGTGGCCGCCCTTGCACCACGCCATATGCGAGGCACTGCTCCTCACTGCCTCGCCGCGTGCAATTGTTCTCGCGCGCCCCCTAGCCCACCGCTTCCTGGCCACAGCGCGCGAGGCATTTGAGCGCACGGGGGCCATGCATGAGAAGTACGACGGCAGGCAGAGGGGCGCCGTGGGGAGTGGAGGCGAGTACAACCCACAGGTGCGCCCCCTTCGCGAGTCCTTGCCCGCTTTTCTTCCATGCTCCTTACGTGTGCCTAAGCCCTCTTGTTTGTACGGTACGTATTGCATCTTTCTAACTGAGCCCAACCCCCAGTGTGATCCGTATGGTAATCAGGTTGCCACCGTGTTTGTTTCAATCCCATGTCGTTCTGCATCAAATTCTGTGCCATGCAGCATACAGCAATCATGAACACCATGTTGTGTGTAATGCACCGCCACATTCCTGGCAGGTTGGATTTGGATGGACGAATGGTGCTGTCCTGTCACTCTTGGATCTTTTCGGTTATGAAGAACCTTGACGGGGTCTTTTGTTTTGTTTTGTCTCGTCTTGTTTTATTATCCGTCAAGATTCAGCCGTTATGCTTTAACAGATTGGGTAGAAGGAATTTAGTGCAGTTCCTTTCATTCTAATCATTGGTGTCACTTTGGGAATACGAGTTGCATCCACAAACGGGTACATGCAATTTTTTCTCCTGGAAACTCGAACGCGAGGGGTCTCGCCTCGGTGCTTCATGCTCATTATGTCCAGGCTCCAGCGGTCTGCCTACATTCCTGATCAAGTAGCACTGGGCGAGGTGTAATCGAGCGAATCCGAGATTAGAGGGCAAACCAAGCCGGAGGTGCACAAGGAAGAGGAAGACGCAAGACGAGTTTGGGGCGAGAGGGCACGGGTCTGGCAGGAAGAGGAAGAGCGATGGGCGAGGAGCAGCCAGCGGAAGGCGCGGTGGAGAGCGTGTTCGGGCAGGACGTGACTCACGGCTACGTCAGCAACGGCGACGTCAAGCTGCACTACGTGCACTGCGGCGCACCGCACGACCCGCTGGTCCGTGCGCCATCCACGCGCACCGTGTCGCGCCTTCCGCTTCGTCAACTTTTCTCCCAGTTTCCCCCGTTCATTCCCCACCACATGCGCACGTCTGATCCCCTCCCGCTGTGCCTTGCGTGCATCCCAATGCCCACTGGCAGCTGCTGTGCCTGCACGGCTTCCCGTCCTTCTGGTACACGTGGAAGCACCAGTTCCACTTCTTCGCCAGGTCCGTGCCCTTGCGCCCACGTGCGCATCCCTCGCCCGCTGCACCCTCACCCTTCCTCTTGCAACTCAACCCATGCGCCTTTCTACTCCCATCGTCTCATGTCTCCTCGTCCTATCACCCGCTGCGGAGGCCAGTCGCGGGTACCACGTGGTGGCGCCGGATCTGCGCGGCTACAGCTGGTCGGGCAAGCCGCCGGACGTGGCGGCGTACAGCCGCGCGGCGCTGCTGTCGGACGTGGCGGCGTTGGCGGCGCACTTCGGCGTGCGGGAGGACGCGGACGGGCAGGCGCGCAGCAAGATGGTGCTGGTAGGCTGCCCGCGGATCGTGTGTCGTGGATTCAGCCATTTCTCGCCACTGGGATGGCTGCTAGGAAGCGAATGAGAGTGCGTCGTGCTGCATGCCTCCGTGTCCCCACCCCGCATCCCTGCATGTGACCCGTGTGTGCGAGCAGGTGGGGCATGACTGGGGCGGCAACGTGGCGTGGGAGTTCGCGCACGACCACCCCGCGCTGCTGCACGCGCTCGTCATCTGCAACATGCCGCACCCCTCCGCCTTCCATGCCGCGCTGCGCTCCAAGCCATCGCAGATGCGCCGCAGCTGGTACATCTGTGAGTCGCTCCGTGCCCCCATCCCCTCCCATGCGCCGCTTCTCCTCCGCTCATTCCACCACCCCCTTGCTCCGCGCACTCACTCATCCGCATCCTCGTCCCCCCCTGCCCGTGTGCGCAGTTCTGTTCCAGCTGGGCCACCTGGGCGAGTCCTTCATGTCGCTCAACAAGTCAGTGCTGCGCTGCCCTCGCCACCCTCCCTCGCACCCGCGCACTCGCCCTATCATGCATCGCTTGCCAGCTCCCTTTACGTCCTCGTCACGTTTCTTGTCGCCGTCGTCCCTCGCGTCTTTCCTGTCCTCCCTTTCTCACGTGCGTGCCCGCCCCCCCCTGTGCTCCCTGTGCTCCATGTGGTGCGTGCACTGCCCGCCGGCAGCTTCTACATGCTGCGCGGCGTTGTGCAGCGCGACCCCAAGGTGCCACAGTCTCAAGACGACGTGCAGCGGTGCGCACGGGGGTACAGGGGGGGATTGGGGGGGGGGGGGGGAGGGGGAGGAGGGAGAAGGGAAGAGGAGGAGGGATGGGTGTGCGGACGGATGGGAAAGTGGGGAAGAGGGTGGAGGGTTGTGGTTTTGGAGGAAGAGTGGGGTGTTGGGTGGGGCCGAGCAGACGTTGATGTGAACGGGGGCAAGCCGTGCATGGGTGAAGGGATTGCGGCATGCGGAAGAGCTGCACGCCAGGCGTGCGCCTCTGGTTTTGGCGTGCTGGGTGCTGCTGATGGAGGTGGCGCGCACATTGAGTGCCGTGCATGTGCTGCCGTCAGCTTGTCACCGTGCTCCCCACTGACCATCACATCCCCATGTCCCATGTGCCTCGCTCTCACCCCCCCCACCGCCACAGGCACGTGGCAGCGTTCTCCATCCCCGGTGCGCTCACGGCGGCCATCAACCTGTACCGCGCTGCCTTCCACAAGCACTGGCTCCGCCCTGACACCTCCCACGCCACTGTATGCCACATGCACCGCCGCCCCTTCCCATTCTCCCTTGCCCCATTTGCCACTCTCCTTCACTTGCTCTTCTGAGAGCACGCATGCCTATACCCTGTGCAGGCAGGAACGTTGTAGTCGGTACCTCCTCCTGTGATGGCCTGTCTCCCCTCTCCACCCATGTGCCACGGGCAGGTGGAGGTGCCGGTGCTGATGCTGTGGGGCGATGACGACTGGGCATTCAACCCGGACCTCTCGCAGCCGCCACCATCCCTCGTGCCCAACTGCCAAGTCATCCACTTCCCCCAGGCACGCCCCACGCCCGCCTTCCCACACTTTCTGCACCTTCTCAAGACTGCCGCCCCTCCCATTGCTCATCAACCCTCACCTCTCAAATTCCCTTGCACATGCAGATTGTAGCACACAAATGCCTGGGTTTGTGTTGACACCATATTGTGAGTGCGTGTGTGGTGCATGGCAGGCGTCGCACTGGGTGATGTGGGACGAGCAGGAGCAGGTGAACGAGCGCATGCACGAGTTCATCACCGCTGCCATGCATGGCACCCCGGCCAGTCCCACATCGCAGCACAGCAGGTCGCGCATGTGAGTGCAGCGCACTGCCTGTTCTGTGCTTGCTGCATGGCTTGTGTCATCTCTCCTGCACTCTCACTCCTCCCTGCAGCTCGGGGCCTTCAGAGTGACAACGAGTGTGGATGGCATTATGGCTACCGTTGTACATAGATGCAGAGGAATGCCGTGCATGCACGCATGCATGGTTCTTTCAAGCCTGCTCGCCCTGCAGTGCTCCTTTCTTCCAGATTACAGTGGAGGGTTGGGATCAGTGGAAGTGGCACTGTGGTTGTAATAGGAAAGGGAGGCAGGAAGGATTGCCCTCTTGTGCTAGAGCAGGTGTGATGGTGACTAATCTTAGGAGAGTGAGTTTGACACTGCCAGGCAAGTGATGCTGTAGATGGCTCCACAGCCACGATGACATTGACATGGTTTACCATCTTGTCTAGCTGGCCTTCACCTGTACATCTCGCTGGCATCGCAAGAGCTCTTTTCCTATAGGGATATTGATTCCTCCACCTCAAAACCCTCAACCAGATTGGCGTACCGGTACCGTATAAGGTGCAATTCAGTACCCTAATTGATGCCAGCATGAGCAATGAAAACTGGCACCACTCGAGTTGGTATTACAAAAGTCCAGCACTCTTGACGTGCTGTGATTTCACACCAAGTTGAAAGAACTCAAACTTGATGGTGGCAACAAAATTGGTGGGGTGGGAGAGCTGGGAGGAGCTCTATGCCTTGCCAACGAACTCGACATCAAAGAGCAAATCGGAGTTGGGGGGGATGATGCACGACCCTGCAATGAGAGGCACGCACACATGGCAACAAGCAGCGTATCACACTCATTGCCAGCCAGTGTACGAGTGAAGCTCTCAGCTCATGGCACCACGCTTGAATGCAGGCATGTGGCTCCACAATGGACAAAGTGGTCATGGCGCTCATACTCACTACGACCTCGGCATGGGTGCGAGCGTTCAACTGCAAACCCACAAAAAACTGTGAATGGGCGATCAGTCCATGCCTCATCCTAAGCAGCAAGGAAAAAGCAATGAGCAGTGAGCAGTGAGGGGGAAATGGTTGGGCAGGGCAGCGAGGCATGGAGAGGTCTCACCTCCGCGGCAGCCGGCTCCTCTCGCACCGTACGCCAGTGATGCCGGGATGCGCAGCGTGCGCTTGCCGCCTGCACACACAGGTAGCACGAGCGCGTGATGAGAAGCATAAAAGAGAGCAGAAGCATAGATGCGCATGGATTGTGTGTGCCTCGGGCGGCAAGGTGGCAGGCAGCGGTGATGGGAAGGAGTGGGTGTGGGGGGCCGGTGGTACCCACCTGCGCGCATGGCGGGGATGCCCTCCCCGCCCACGATGCCCAGGTCCCACCCCTTGATTACCTGCGCACACGCCACGCACGGGCACATGGGCCAGTGCCGCACGGGGATGGGGTGTGTGCCGGCAGAGAGATGAGCGCTGGACATGACGCCACTGTGCGCTATGCACTGCGCGCCGACAGTGCCGCGCAGCATGAGTGGGCAGCGGCACTGCCCTGCCCTACCATGCAGCACGTGTGTCCCACACACGCAGCAGGGCGCAGGCAGGCTCAGGCGCCACACGGTGGGGTCAGGCACGCGCACAATGCAGAGTGGCAGAGGCAGCGCGCGGGTTTGACCGCGCGCACATGCATCAAGGGAAGGTGGGGAGGGAAAGGAGCAACGCGGCGGCAAGGGAAGCGGACGAGAAGCAGGGGGGGCGCGGAGGAGAGGCGGCACACGCACCTCGCCGGCGCCGACGCGGAAGACGAGGGGGCGGCCGCGGCGGTAGCTGTTGTCGAAGACCGTGCCGTCCAGCAGCGTGCCGTTGTAGTGCGCCTGGGGGGGGACGGGCACGCATTCGCACCCGCGCATGTCAACGCGCGATTAGCATTCGCGGAGACGAGCCACGCGACACAAACACAATAACTCCCCGGCATGCAAGCGCGCGCGCGAGGATCATGAGAGCAGCCCCTCCATCCACACGTGGCGCCATGGCAGCGGACTCGGCGCGCACCTTGATGAGCATGCCAGCGGCGGCCTCGACGCCGTCGCCCACGGCGGTGTCGCAGAACTGCAGCCCCGACGGCGTCGCCGTCAGCTCGCAGCTCGCCGCCCTCGCCTCGCCCGCCACCGCAGTTGCGCCGCACGCGAGGGCCAGCCCCGCCAGCAGCAGCGACCGCCGGTCGGCCTGGGGGGCCGCCGCCGCGACGTGCTGCGCGCTCGACGACGAGTCGGCGGCTGCGACAACGAGCGCGCGCGGTGCAATGCGGCGAGGAGCGGTTGTGGCGATCGAACGGCTCACGGGAAGCAGGGACGTTCCGAGACGAGGCAGGGGCGCGGAGGCGAGAAGATGAGACGAAGTAGCCATGGCGGGCCGGTGATGGATGGGCGCGCTGTGAGCTGTGAGAGGATGTGTGTGGGGTGGACGCGGTGGGTGGGTGGCGTGGCCTCTCGGATGCGCTCGAATCCAACTTCACCTCCAAAATCCACCATGGCTGGGTGGCTGGCAACATTTTCATCGCTCCAGTAAATGATGCGTTTAGACGGTGTGAGCCGCCATAAGCGTTTTTAACAAAGATGATGGTTAAAGTAGAGCTTACAAAGGTCGTTTTCCAAGTAAGCTGTGTTTGCTTGCTACTGCGCATCATGGCTCAACTTCTGTCCATCTCTCACCGTGTGGACACAGCTGTTACCGCTATATCCAACCGTGTGCACGCTTACATGCATGAACTACATGTGATCTAGCCTCCAACTGCTGATTGGGGTGGGCGCCTTCCGCCACCGACTACTGGGGAACAAAAGCCAACGAAGAGCATGGAACAAGAGCCAAGAGAAACACCCAAGGCTCTTGCTGCTGCTGTTGCTGCTGCTGCTGCCAAGAACCTAAGCTAGGTTAAAGGTGGTGGCGGATGCTGAGACTGCTGTGAGTCAGCTGCCTAAATTGTGACTCTGTTGCAGTTACCGCCCTGCCAGGCGCAGAGGAAGGCATGAATACTGCTAGCAAATCAGCAAAAAATGGGGTGGTGTGGCGACAGCGGCACGGACAGGGGAGTGGGAGACGCCGAGTGCTGCACAAAGGAAAGGGATTGCGGGGGGCATGGGTATATGAGGTGACAGCTGGACAGAGGTGCAACTTTTTCAAAAAGATGGAGAAAAAATGCTATGAATGGTGCACGGATAAAGAGCAAACACTACCTTGCCATGCCTATGGCTGAGATTGAACGGCAGTGCAGGCACGGCACGGCAGCCATATCTGACCTCCAGGCTTTCGCGTCCAAACGACCAGCTGCTGCTCATGCTGATCCTGCTGCCCTGCCTGCTTCCTGATGCCCTGATGCAGTATTCCTAGCTGCTGCCATGCCTGCACTCGCTGGCCTAACCATACACCATAACCATGCCTCACTGCTTCAGGCAAGCAGTGCACAAGGCACACCACGCCTCCTCATGTGCGCCCTGCCGTTCCAGCCCTGGCCGCGTGCCCTAGCTGTACACATGCCACCGCTCACTGGACTTCATTTCAAGAGTCATCATGCGGCCAATTGGCCGCTGTGGCGCACATGAGCACATTGGTTCCGCAAAGCACACTATGAACATGTGATACGATGTCTGTGCCCTGCGCACCATCATGCTCAACACACACCAAGCCGCACACTCTCACACAAGCACACATCACACAGTCACACACACACACAGAAGAAGAGAGAGCGAGCCCTCATGCATGTCCATGCAGAGCACAGCAGCGAACACCTTGCCATACTCGTGCGAGTGTACGCACAGGAGCAGGTACAAGCCGCGCCCAGGGCTCACCCCTCGCTCGTTATCACAGGCACCTACGTCAGCGGGTTAGAGGAGCGGCGGGGAGAGGCGTGTGGGCGCGTTGGAGCGTGCAGCGGCAGAGTGGCCCCGCACAGTGAGGGTGGTGCCGTGCCACACATGCTCACGTGGAGTCGTCTTGGTGTGGCGGCATGGACACCCACCAGGACGGCAGCAACACGTTGTTACTGCCCCCATTGTGCACTGTGCCGCCATCCTCAACACCCTGCCGCTCTGCCTGCTCCTCTTCCACCACGCAGCTTCTCAACCTTCCCCTTTGCTCGCTCAATCGCATCGCCTGCTGCTGCCGCTGATCTCTCTCGCCGTCCTGCTGCTGCTGCCACCGCTGGTTGCGCGGCGCGAGCTCATCTTCCACGCCACGTGCCTGCCCTTGCTGTCGTTGTCGCTTCCACCAGTGCCCTCCTCCTTCACCCTCCATCGTACGCACCCCCTGTCTATCTATCGCCTGCTCTCTCCCTGTCTCCTGCTCCTGTCGCCTCTCCATCCCTGCCCCTACCCCCTGTTCCACCTCCCGCCATCCCCTCAACGTTCCTCCGCCCCACTGCTCCTGGGCGGAGTTCAGCGCGCGTGCGTGCATGTCCGGGACCCGCGCGCAAGGCACCTCCCGATCGCCGCGCGCCATCACCACGTCCTGTTGCTGGAACTGCTGCCCCCATCCCCCTGCGTGCCTTGCCTGACCGCCATCCCCACCCGCACTGCCTTTATCGTGCCACGACGGGAACGCCGCCGCTTCCCTCGCCTCACCGCAAGCGACGACCGCGTTGCTGCCGTTCTCTTGCTCCGCCTCCTCGACCACCATGGCCCCCCTCCCGTCCGCCCGTCGCTCCAGATTATCCACCGCGCGAGCACCGCCGTCTGCCCGCGCCTCCCACTCCACGAACTCCCCCGACCCCTCGTCCAGCCTGCCGCTCTCTTCGCACCCGCCGCCCTCCACGGCGTCACCGTCGTCCCTGCCGCTGGAATTGGCGGCGCCGTCCTCGTCGCCGTCGTGAATCCACCACTCCGGCAGCGCGTGCGCCAATTCGTACCCCGCCGTTCCCCCTCCGAACTGCGCCGACCCCCCCTCGGCCGCACCATGCGGGTCGTCGTCATCGTCACCCTGGCCGTGCGGCAGCGCCACCCACCATCCGGGCAGCACGGCTCCCCGTCGCCGTCGAGGTGGCGGCGTGGGGCGCGCGTCGACGAACGTGGGGTCGTGTAGCCACCACGAGCTGAATCCGCGACCGCCGGCCTGCTCACCGTCGGGTGCAACCCCCGCGGGACTAAGATCGGCCTGCATTGCCCTTGCCACTCCGTCATCTTGCCGCAACCCGTGCTCGCGTTGCGGCTCTTGCGCCGCCTGCTGCGCCTGCACCGCCTGCGAGCGCGGCTGAGGCCGGCCCCACGGGTCATGGAGACGCGCCAGTGTGACGTCTACGCGATCGACACGGCTATCCGCGGCCGATGCCGCATGCTCGCGAGGAACGGCCGCGAGAGACGGCGCCAAGGCCGACGGTGACCTCTCTAAGCACGCCCGTGATGGAGCCACCTCGGCGCCTTTGTCGTCACGAAACTCCTAAAGGCGATAGCGAAAATCGGCACCGCAGGAAGAGCTTGCGGCTAAGTTGACCACCTAGACGGTCAAGAATACAAGCGACGCGAAAATCGCGAAGGCCGACGTATGGCCAAGCGCATACAGTGAGCGCAGGATGTTACCACTAAACAAATCAGGGTGTGGAACGCAAGTGGTGTAGGGTTGAGCTGTTGGACAGGTGGACGTCGTGATGAAGCGGGGAAGAAGAGGCAGGTGCAGGAGCGGCTGAAGATGAGCAGCAGAGGGGAGGGCAGGTGAGAGGGACGAGGCAACGCAGTCGTGCACGTTTGGCCACGTGCCTCGGAAACACTGGGGGAGGATCTCCAGGCAGCTCGCGAAAACCCTTTTGAAATCGCGTTTGGGCGGGTATGCACTAGTCGGATCGTTTGATCCCTCGATCGGGGGGAGTGATGATAGAGGGCCCAACATTCGTTACTGCGTTAGGTCTGCAACTGGCACCAATCACAGTTGAGCTCTTCATCTTGTCAAGGGAATGCTCAGGTGGCTGGACGCGCCATCAGCAAACCCCGTTACTGGAATATCACGACACCTAGTAGCGCTTTCTCTAATCTATAGATCTCCAAATCTATATCCCCCAACAATGACACATGTGACAACACAACTCATAGCCGCTCAGAAGCGGTTCAGACGAGCATCACTTAAAAAACAAGTTTACACACACGTTCACTCCCTCATTTTAGGCCCAGCAAGGTCGAGGTCAATGACAATGACATGACAATGACGATTACTACCTTGAGCTCTCCGTCACGGATTCCATCAATCACTTCAGGCTTGTAATGTCACAAAATTACTCATCATTCAACAATGCTTCCCTTGCTGAGTGGTACGTAACTTTTCTTGACCTTTAGTGCAATCCTAGCGAACTTATCAAGTTTTCTTACCGGTAGCACTTACCCTGATTATCGTTAAATCTTAGCGAATCCTCCTCAAAGCTTCCTTCGCCTTCAGGCCCAACATATCTTCTCTCCTCTGGGCCAGCCAGCCTACCATGGCACATCCTCGAATTTGTATGGGGGCCGGCACCACTGGGCTGTCCATCACGCATGAAGTCTAGTAGCATCTTATTCTCCAAATCCACCCGCGCGATTCCAACGAATTTCCGATGTTGATTTTTCCAATCCCAGACGCTAGCTCCTTTGTTCACCTCTCCATGTTTCCACTATCACCTTCCGTCACTCGTGTCCTCACCGCCCCGCCATGGCCACTTTGAGTCTCGCGCGTTTCCCGGCGGACATAGCCGGGGCGAGCGTCGTGTCGGCCGACGTGTCGTCGGACCTCAGGCTGCTAGCGGCGCACCTGCCGTGCGGCGATGTCGCTGTCTGCGCTCTCGGCAGCCCCGTGCGCCCCGCTGCTGCCACCACCCACGTGCTCTTCCGCGATCGCGCCGAGCCGGCGCCCGCAGATGCCCCTCCTCACGCGCCCTCGTACCATCGCCGCGTCGCATGGCTGTGCCCGCGACAGCAGTTGGGCGAACCGTGCGATCAGGGCCAGTCGCATGATCGGATTCTTGTGCTGCTTAGGCCCCGCCGTGTGTCGCTGTACGCGATAAGCGCAGGCACGAGCCCCGTGTCGGGGAGTCCTATACCGGCTGCGTCAGTGCAGGCCAGGCGCGTGCCCTTCGGCAGGGCGGGCGTGCGAGTGGTGTTCTGGCCGGAAAGCGCGCGCGGATCCTCCTCTGCGCGCGGGGCCAGCGATGCGTTCGACCTTTTGAGTGGCGCAGCAGATGGCGCGGGGGAAACTGGCAGGTGGGAGCAGTTGGCGGGGGGAGGGGAGGCGGCAGCGCATATGAGCATGGGCGCGGGCGCGCGCATGGGGTTCAGCATGAGCGCGTGGCATGCACACTTCGATTCCCCGCCCTGGCACAGCCTGCTGGCCGCCTGTGGGGCCATGGCGGCGGGCGGGGGCAGCGGAGAGCAGGCGCGCAGCAACGGAGAGGCGAGCATGCAGGAGAGTGGGAGCGAGGGCGGGGCATGGGGGTGTGCGGTGGAGCAGGTGGTGGCGGTGGGGGTGGAATCCGACGCGCATGCCTCGCACCTCGCGCTGCTGCTCACGTCGCGCCAAGCATACGCACACATGTGCCTCTCGCCGTCCGCGCTGCGCTGCCAAGCCCCCCTGCCAGCACACAGCAGCGTGCTCGTGCTGGCCGTGGCAGGGGGAGTGAGCGCCGACAATCGATCGCAGCGGGCACAGGGCGATGCTGGGGGTATGGTGGGAGAGCTGTGGCGCGGGGAGCAGGGGGAGCAGGGGCGCAGGGTGGGTGGTGTGGTGCGCGTGCAGTGCTGCATCCACCTGCACGCGGTCACGGGCGCACAGCATGGGGCGGGCGCCATGTGGAGCGCCGTGAAGCTCCAGGGCGCCGTGCTGTGCGCCGTGCAGCCATGGGGCGCTGCTTTCACGTGGAGCGCCGCCTCTGGCCGCCCCCTGCACTCCCTGCTCCTCACCCCTGCCGGGCCCGCACCTCTTGCGCCCACCCACGCCTCTGCCCCTCCCCATGTGCTCCACGCGCATGGAGCTGGCGCCAGTGCAAGCAGCAGCAGCAGTGCGAGCATGCAGAGCTGCCCATCCATGGACGGCGCGCGGCACTCGCGTGCTGTAGGTGGCGGCATGGGTGGCGTGGTGGGCGTGGTGCTGGGGGGCGAGGGCGCGCTGCTGTGCGCCGTCACCACCACGGGCCTCGTGCTCACTGCCTTGCTGCCTGCGCCCATGCTTCCCCATACGCCTCCGCCTCTCCCCACACCCCCCGCCCCCCCCATGCGCTCTGTGGTGCTGTGCAGCCCACTGGCATCGGGGCGCGTGCTGCTGGGCCTCGTGCATGCAGACAGGCCGGGGCCAGCGGACAGCAGCACTGCTGTACTCACAGTGGCCGTGCTGCACTCGCACCACACGCCCCACCACGCACCCCCACCCGCTGCTTCTCACCCTGCCAGCGATGCCACCCGTCCAGCACCCAAGGCACATGTCGCTATCTACTCCTTCCCGCTCGCCATCCCCCACAACCACGCTCCGCTTACCCACACCCTTCTCGCACCCGCCCTGCCCCCCCTCTCGCTGCCTTCCTGCGCCGTGCCGCTGCTCTCCTGCCACCGCCTGCTCTGTCTCTCCAACGACCGCCTGCTCCTCCTCCTCCCCGCCCGCCCGCCCTCGCCCCTGCACCTCTCGTCCGCGCCCCTCTTCCCCATGTGCCACCTGCCCCGCTCGTGCCTCCCCTCACCCCCATGCGCCGCTGCTCTTAGAATGTCCCTCACTTTGGCAGCCCTGCAGCTGGAAGGAGTGCCTTCCCTGACACCTTGTGGGGGCGAGCAGGGGGAGGGGGGAGTGAGGGTGCAGAGGGGAGGACATTTTGCAAGTGTGGTAGTGGGGGGGAGTGGTGTGGTAGAGAGGTGGGTGGGGGCGGAGAGGCAGGAGGAGGCGTGGGTGCGGAGTGTGAATGAGGTGATGGGGGCGGTGATGGCGATAGAGGGCGATGTTATGAACAGGGAGGATCTGGGCGGCACTGCCTTCCTCTCACTGCTGCACAACACTGCACATGCCAACGGTACCAACCCTGCCAACCCTGCGCCTGTGCCTTCAAATTACCAAGTTGCTGTTTCAGCATGCCAGCACCCTGCTTTCTGATCTGAGGCACATCCTGTCGTCATGGATTCACGCTGCTTGTGCCCACCGTGCGTGAGCGTGCTGCGGTGCAGGCTGGCCGGACTCGTGCCTTGTGTTGCAGCACGTGCGCCTCTGCCTCGACCTCATGTGCCCCGCGCCCTCCGTTGTCAGGTGCGTCACTTCTGCTGCAATGCAACCCACACCCTGTCGCATATCCCACTTGAGGTTCATCTGTCCATCTCTGCATCTTCTCCGCTCCTCCTCACCCTGTTCATGCCGTTCCCACTCTCTGCATGTGTGCATGTGTGCGTGCAGGCTGCTCTTCCTGCTGCACGGCATCAGTGCCGCCCTGCAAGTGAAGGCCTTCCACTGCCTGCTCGCCTACCTCATCACACACCTCCCCCTCGCGCGCTTCTCGCGCTCCCACGCCAGATACACCTCCAGGTATGCCCGCTCGCTCGCACCCATACAGCCTTGCATGGCTGCCTGTGACCTTTCTGGGGCAGCATTCTCTGCCCTTGCCACACGCCATGTTGCGCCCTCATCACTGCAAATTAAGCCTCTCCTGATTCACTCACCTGCCCCTGTCCTATCGTCTGTCCTCCCGCCTGCCCCCAGTCTGCTGGCGCATGCCATCCGTGCACTGCTACAGGCGCTCCTGCTGCACTACCACACGGCGCCCGCCTCGCCCCACAGGGCCCGCCGCCCCCACTCCACTCTTAGGCCACGCACTCCAGCAGGCATGCACGCGGGCGTGGGCAGGGGCGAGAAGGGGAGAGGGGGAGGGAAGCGGAGGCAGGGTGAGGGGGAGGCGGGGAGTGAGGAGCAGGCGGCACAGAGGGCGAGCATGGAGGCGCTGTCAGACGTGCTGCTCGCCCTGCGCCACCTGCACACCGCCGCCACTCGCCTCTCCGCCCACCATGCTGCGCCCTCCGCCGCCACCGCTGCCCCCAGCAGCACTGCAGGCGTCGCTGCAGAGAGCGGTGGTGCAGGTGCAGGGGGAGGTGGCGCGGAGAGACAGTCAGGCATGCTGCTGCTGTCCGCCCCACATGCTCTCGCTGCAGCGCATGGCCCACAGGTGAGGCCCAGCAGCACCATGCAGGGGCGATGGGTACCATATGCACTGGCATGTGCGAGTGAGAGAAAAGTCCTTGTGCACTCATGCACTTGCCTTGCCTCCCTTGTTTGAACCCCTCCCTCGCACCATGCAGGCTGCGCTTCCATCTGGGCCCCTTTACTCCCACTTGCCTCTTCCCCACCTTCCGCCGTCCTTCCACATGTCCCGCTCACCCCACGATCAGCTTTCAGTCCCCTCCTCCCTCTTCTCCTCGCAACCACCTCACCAAGCCACCACCCGCACCACGTCCCCTGCCCAGCCACTCGCCCTGCCACCACCACCCACTGCTGTACCGGCAACGGACGTTCGCCCTCAGCAGCTGGCAGTGCTGCCCCCTCACAGCGCGCCAATGCTGGCATGGATGGAGGGGGGCGAGCAGGAGAGTGTGCGCGCCATGCTGCAGCGGTGGCAGCAGCAGCAGAGCCCCTCGGAGGTGGTGGTGTGTGACGCCATTGCCTCGTGCCGCCTGCCCCTCGCCACCGCCTTCCTGCACCACCGCCTGCTGCACCCCCCACGCTCACAGCAGCCCCGCATCGAGGCCACAGGTGGTGAGCAGCACAAGGAGGAGGAGGAGCAGGAGGAGGAGGAAAAGGAGAGTGGCACAGATGCAAGAGAGGAGGGAGGGGCAGAAGCAGAGGCGGATGGGGGAGAAGCAGGGCGGGAGGCGGCGGGGCAGGCGGGTAGGGAGGAGGCGGAGCATGTGGTGCAGGTGGAGGGGCGCAGGCTGGCACTGGCGTTCCTGTGGCAGGGGCATGCGGGCATGGCAGCGCAGGTGCTGCTGCGCCTGGGCGCACACGTGCACGCGTCGCTGCGGGAGCTGCTGCTGCGCTCCTTCTCCTCCCACCTGCGCCACGTGCTCTCACACTACCTGCACCACCACCACCTGCTGCCGCCCCCCCTCCTGCACTTCCTCGCTTGCACTCAAGTTATCCAGGTAACTACCCACCACGTAAACTGCTCAACCACTTGCCACCGCATGTATATGTTCTGAGGCGGCCAGTATCGCCACTCACTCGTCGACTGCGGGTCACCTGATGCCACCGCATGTACATGTTCTTCACACATGCTCTTGCGCTGCCATGGAAACCCCTCGTCGCCCCCCCACCCCCCTGCAGGACATGTACCCCCTGCGATCCTTCACCCCCGCGTATCGCCTGCGCCGCGCCTCTGCCCCCTCCTCCCTGCAACTCCACCCTGCCACGCGCGCTGCCAACAGCCGCAGCAGTGCCCCACGCTCCGTGCCTGAGGGGGGCCGTGCAGCTGTGGACTCAGTGGGGGAGGCGGAAGCATGTCAACAAGGGGTGGTGGGCGCGAGTGAGGAGGGTGGGGTGGATGAGCGTGAGGTTGATGGTGGGGCGAGGGCAAGAGTGGCAGTGGGTGTCGGGGGTGTGGAGTGCGGGCAGTGTGGTGGGGGGGTGATTGGGGGCAGCTGGGGCAGTCTGGTGGCGCTGGTGCCCGCACAGGGAGGGCAGGGGGGGAGGCAGGCAGCAGAGGCGTGGGGTGAAGGTGCAGGGGTTGGGGCGAAGAACAAGATGGTCGCAGAGGGGGTGGGTGAGGAGGAGCAGAGCAGGATGCAGGTGGAGGATGGGTTGAGCATTGTGGTGCGGCACGGGTTTGCGTGTGTGGCGACAGCATGGGTGCAGCACTGGGACCCCGCTGTGCTGCTGCAGGTCAGCATGCCACACCGCCCACCATGCACCACATGCACTCGCTCCGCTCGGGTCATTCGTATTCACTTTGTCCTAGCCTTCGCTACCACTTATGCTGCTGCATTCCCCGCTTCTCCTGTGCTGGCCTATTTCAATATTTCCCTTGCCTCCAATCCACCTCTGCATGTGGCACGGCACTCACGCAACAGTGCATGGGTGGCAGGTCACCCAGCTCTCCCCCTCTGTCTCCCCCGCCATCACAGGTGCTGGCAGAAGGAGCTCTCCTCGCCTCGTCTCCCTCTCCCTCCGTTTCCTCCTCGTGTCAGCCAACCTCTTCCTCCTCAGCCTGTGCGCCCGCACTCACGGCCCTGCATCGCATTCTAGCCACGCATCGCCTGCACATCCCACCGCCACTGCCTGCTGCTCCACCACCCCCTGCTGCATCTCTGGTGGCATGGGAAGCTCTGCTCTCCTTGTCTCTGCGCCACCACCTCCCTGCCCTCCTCTCCTCCACCCTTCACGCTCTCCCTCCCACTGCCCTCACCCGCTCGCCCATCACGGCAGTCTTGCACCGTCCTCCTCCTCACCCCCTTTCCCAACCCACCTCCCCCAGACGCACCTGCATGCGCGTGCCAGTGGTCCTGGCAGCAGCAGTGCTCAACCCTGCCACAGTGCTGCCCGGGCCAGGGAGTGCAGAGGCGAGCGCAGTGCAGCACAGGGCAGGGGGCAGTGCGTATGGCGAGGGCATCAGTGGCGGCATGCGCAGGGCATTGGAGGAGCAGCTGGCGGCGCAGGGCGTGCTGCTGCGCGCCCACTGGCGCCACCCCCTCCCCCTCCTGCGCCTCCTTGCACGCGCCCACATGCTGCTGCCGCCCAAGGGCCTTGCAGGCGAGATTGCGGGCGGTGGGGCGGAGGAAGCAGTGGGAGTGGATGGTGTGAGTGCAGGCAGGCGTGGGGATGTGGGTGTGGGTGAGGGTGAGGGTAAGGGTGATGAGGGAAAGGAAGGCGATGGGGAGGTGGGTGTGCGAGGAGGTGGGGGTGGTGCTGTGGGAGGGCTGCAGTGGAGTGCTGTGGGCATGACTCTCACATGCTCCGCCCTGCGCCTGCCACTGCTGCTGCACCTCTTCCTCAACACACACACCGCCCGTCACTACGCGCGCATGCAGCAACACACACATGAAGATAACATGGTGAGCTGCCAACCACAGTCTTTCTTGCCATAATGTGCCTTTCTCTCCGCCGCCTTCCTACTTACTGTTCGTGACCGTGTAATTCAGAATCCCCAATCTGCTGGTGTTTTGCCCCGCCCTTATTCCCTGCCTGTTCTGCCAACTCCCTCCCGCCCCTTGTGCGCCACGGTGCAGCTCCTCTCAGCGCACCCCTGCTACGTCTGGTTGCTGCACTCCCTTCTCCCACCGCCTCCTTCGCTCCCCATCACCCCCTCGCAAGCCCCCCTGCCTGCACCCGCGGGTGTCCGTGCAGCGGCCGTGCAAATAGCACAGGGGGTGCGGTGCAACCTAGCATGGCTCCTCGCCCACCCCCCTCCCGGCACTGCCTGGCCCTGGGTGAGCGAGGCACGGGGGGGGAAGAACGAGTGCACATGGGGGGATGACGAGGGCGGCGAGAAAAGCAGTGGTGCGCGTGGTGCGGGTGCAGGGATGAGCGAGGGAGGTGATGGGGACGGGAACAGTGGCGGAGGGGAAATAGGGCAGGCCCGGCCAACAGCAGGGGGTGTGGCTCTGTGGGCTGGGAGTTACTTGAGCGGTGTTGTGGGGTGCAGATGGGTGGAGGGTGCACAGCAGGAGCGGGTGGGTGGAGCAGATGTGGATGCATGGGGAGATGATGAGCTGTGGTGGTGGCAGGAGGGGCAGTGGGGCACGGAAGAGTGGTGCGGGAAGGCAGGCACGGCAGGACATAGTGGGAATGAGGCAGCCGGGAAGAGGGCGATGGAAAATGAGGAGGGGCAGGAGGAGGAGCAGGATGAGGAGAGAGGAGAGGGCGAGGCAGAGGAGGAGCAAGGGGAGGAGGGGCATGAGGAGGAGATGGCGGATGGCAGTGGCCCACCTGCGGGCTTAGACGTGTGGAGAGCAGTAGGGGGGCGGTGGGAGGAAGTGCATGTGTCTGCAGTGGAGCAGTGGCAGCAGCACCTCTGGCGCTCCCTGCTGCTCGCCCTGCTTCTCCACCCCCCCTCTCACCCCGCCCTCCCATCCCACCTGCCCCTGCTCGCCTGCCTTGACCGCCTGCTGGGCCGGACACATGTGGCAGCACGCGGCGATGGGGGGAGAGGGCGGGCGGAAGGCAGGCTAGACGAAGAGGAGGAGAGGAGTGGAGAGTGGTGGCGGAGTGGCACGGGAGGGAGGGAGGAGGTGGTGGCAGTGCTGGGGCAAGGCACAGGCATGTGGCAGATGAGGGCTGTGCGCATGGCACTCACTGCATGGCACCATGCGCCACAAGGTGTGACGCACTGCATGCACGTGGGTTTTTTTTTTAGCAGTCGCGTGCTGACAGCGTGTGTGCGCATTTCTTCCTGCTCATACTTGTCTTCTGAGTCTACGCTTGCCCCTTTCAACGTCAACCTCACTCGCCATCTCTCCTCACCCCTTCACAATATTTCGTTCCTCGCCTCCCTCTTCCTGGCTCTGCGTCTTTGTGTGTGCGTGTGTGTGTGTGTGTGTGTGTGTGTGTGTGTGTGTGCGTGCGTGTGTGTGTGTGTGTGTGTGTGTGTGCGTGCGTGCAGGAGTCACCCTGCCCTGCCTGCTACCGCCAGCACTGCTCTCACCGCCGGACTCACTCCACCATCACCTGCACGCACTCTCCCACCACCCCGCCCCTCTGCCCCCCGCACCCGCACTCGCCCTCCGCCTCCACCGCCTGCTCTTCACCCCCGTCTCCCCCAACCCCCTCGCCTCCCACTCACTCCCCCCCGCTACATTCCCCTGGGAGCTTCCTGCCTCCTTCCCCCTGCCATGCGCCCTGCAACTTGCTCCCCATGCTGCCCTACAGCGCTTGCCCACTCTCTCCGCCCTCTCCCACTCCCTCGCCTCCCTCTCTGCCCGGCCCTATGCCTGTGCCTGGCTCAGTGACCCTTCGCCCTTAGCAAGCCGCACTGTGCCAGAGGTATTAAATTGCACTACCCTAGAAACTCTGGTGGCGACTCATGTCATCTCCTCTGCTCGCCAGCAAACCTCAAGTCTACCCTGGCTTTTCTTGACCCAACAGCTTCTGCCCCAGATTCACCCCCTTCTCTCTGCTTTCGTCTCTCCCTTTCTCCCCACGCGGTGCAGGCACCCGCTAGCCGCCAACGAAGTGCACTGCTCGCCCTGCCGCACTCTCTCCGCCACCACCTGCTAGCAGCGTCGCCCTTGGCGCTCTTCCTCTCCCTCCTGCCCTCGCTGCTCTCCCCATCCGTCGCCCGCGCCTCCCTCAAGGCCACTACACACCACCTGCACGGCCTGGCATCAGCAGCAGCCCTGCTCGCGCGCACACACACGCCCCTGCTCGCCTCCGCCTCCACCTTCCTCTCTCTGCTCGGCCTCTCCTCCTCGCGCCTGCGCCTCGTCATCGCCGCCTTGCACCTCATCCTCTCCTCCTCACCACCCCCCTCGCCCTCCTCCCTGGCCGCTGTTGCTCGCTTCCTGCACTGCTACTGCAGTGCGTGGGCGGGGGAGCAGCACGGCGGGACAGGGAGGGCAGGGGAGGCAGCGCAGCACAAGGCGGCGAGGCAGCTGCTGAGGCTGCTGGAGGGTGCCGTGCTGGGGGAGACAGAGGGGGCTGGTGGGAAGGGGGACGGGGAGAATGGTGCAGGGGGAATTGGTGTGGTGGAGGTTGGGGCAGTGGTGAAGGGAGGAGTAGGGAAAGGGGTGGTGCAGGGGTGGTCGAACCATGCAGTGGAGATGGTGGGGGAGGAGGAGAAGTTGGAGAGGCAGAGGCGCGTGCAGCTGGCGATGCAAAGGAGGGAGCAGCAGCAGCAGCAGAGGGACGAGTGGGCGTTGGTGCTGGCCCTTGCAGCAGAGTTCTCTCTCCCACCGCCTAACACACTCTTACTGCGCTTCGCACGCGCGAATGACTGGGTATGGCTTGGGCTGCATGGGGGAACTGAACATGTGTGCCGTGCGTGGCATACTTGTTAGAAACCCTAAATCCTAAACACAGCTATGCTGTAATTCAACCGTTCTTATCTCACACTGCCCCCAACACTTGAATCCTCTCTCTTGTGTATTGGTTTTCCGCCTCCAGATGGGCTTGCTGGCACAGGCTCAGGCGCAGACATGGCCCCTCCACGACCTCGTCCACATCGTAACCCTCTCTACTGCCCTCGCCCCCGCGCTCATTTCCTCTTGTTGAACTCCTTCTTACCGTGCATTACCTCTGTGTTTCGCTGCTGCAGCAGTCTCTGCTATCTACTTCATACATGGCCGAACACTGCTCGTTGCGCCCTCCAGCACGCACCATGTGACCACCACCTCCACCAAGGGCCATTTGCTAGTGCGCCCCGACCTTAAACTCCGCTATCACGCCTCCCCTGCCCTTCCAGGTCCACCAACACGTGCCGCACCTGCCGCTGCGCCACCACCTCTCCCTCGCCCTCGCCCGCTGTGCCAACCCCTCCTGCCCGCCACCCTCGCTGCTGCCATACCACCGCACGCCCACGCTCTTCCACGTCCTCTCACAAGCCACCACTGCGCCCACCCACTCGCACACCCCTGGGAGCACCGCTGCTCGCCCCCCTGGCCGTGTGGCGGTGCAGCTGTTGTGCATGGCACGCCACCTGCACTGGCCGCTGCTGGCCGTGGTGGCAGCAGGCGTGCAGGGGGGCGCGGAGGACAGGCAGGCAGGGGCGAGCTCGGGGATCACACTGTTCCACCTGGCGTGCCTCGACTGCTGGCTGCATGCCACCTGCGCACAGTGAGCATGCCACTCTGCCCCACACACCCGCACTGCTTCATACCTGTTGCCACTTGTTGCTATTAGTGCTTGGTGCTTCTCGTTACACCCATCTTCTTCCAACCACCACCCTTTACCCACACCTCTTCCCCACTCATTCCCTGCTTCTCCCTTCTCCTCTCTGTGTGCCAGACTGCTTGCAGCATCGACCCACACTGCCTCTCACAGCCTTGCAACCCCTGGTGGGGCTGTGGCAGCACAGGAGGAGATGGAGAATGGGGGGCTTCAGGGAGATGAGGGAGAGGAAGAAGGTGAAGCGGAGGAAGAAGGGGTTGAGGCAGCGCATGGAGGATGGGTTGGGGAAAGGCAGGAGTGGGTGCAGGGGTTGCAGCAAGGGAAGTGCCGGCGAGTGGAGGCAGAGAGAGGGCCGAGGGTGAAGAGGAAGGCAGCAGACGTGGGAGGAGGGGAGCAGAGGGTGCCGCAGCCACAGGCACAGCCAGGTGCTGAGCCGAGGCAAAGGGAGGCTCAGGGGGGCGAGGAGGCGAGGGGCATGGGGCTGGGTGGCATGGTGGCGTGGCTGTGCCGCGAGGGGTGTGTGCTGCCGCTCCTGCGCGGGTTGCACCTCTTCCTGCCACGCTGCTCCCTGCTCTACCTGCTCCTCGCACTGCAGGTGTGCTGCCACCCTCCATGCACACACAGTTCAATTGTAACACGGATGAAACCCACAAGCTACTGCATTACTTGCGCCCTGCTGTTTCATTCCTGGTCTGCACTCTATACCTCTCTAATTAATCCTCACCCTTCTCCCTCCCTGGACCCCTTTCTCCCCCCTCCAGGCGCACTGGCGGCAGCACAGTGAGGAGGCGGAGGCGTGTGTGGCGGAGTTCAACGTGCTGGCGGACAGGGAGCATGCGCATGCACAAGCAGCGCAGCACCACCAGGGGCACGCACTGGGGGAGGCGTTGGGAGACTTGGAGACCGTGTGGGGTGCGGAGGGGGCAGTGGAGGAGGAGCAGGCAGCGAGCCATGACCTCCCCTCGCTGCACACTCTCTCCTCCTTCTTCTCCCCCTCCTTCTCTCTGCGCTCCTTTGCTCTCCGCTGCTCCCTCTCCCCCTCAGCTATCCTCTCTTCCCTCGCATCGCTAGCAATCGATGCTGCCATTGCCCGTGCTGCCTCACCGCACCAAACTCTCTCCCTCCTCCACCTCCTCTCGCGCGCCCGCCTGCCCCCACCAGCCCAGCACCGCCTGCAGCAGCTTCAGGTGGAAGCGCAGCTGCTCTCACGCGACCCTTCAGGGCCCTCCGCCTCCCCCCTGCCCTCTGTGCCCCCTGTGCCCCCTGTGGCTGCGGCTGGGATTACCAGCGGTGCGGCAGGGGCGAGGGTGGATGGAGGTGCGGAACAGAGTTGGGGGGAGGGTAGAGGATGGGGAGCAGCGATGGAGCAGGGCGAGGTGGGGGTGGGTGAGAGGGGGGAGAGTGGGGAGGGGGGGTGGGGCAACGAGGCACTGCAGCAGCTGGTGCAGGCGGGCAGGTGGAACGAGGCACGCGTGCTGGCAGGGCGGCTGGAGGGCCATGGGGGCAGCACAGCACGGGGTGACGCAAGCATGGCAGATGATGGAGGAGATTCACATGGAGGGGGAGGGTGGATGGGGGACAGGGTGGAACAGGCGGGGGCCGGGGATGAGGAGGAGGATGAGATGGGGGAGGGGAGCACGGGTGCGGCGTCGATGACTCAGGAAGCCAGTGCGTTGCAGGCGCGCATAACCCTCACTCAGGTGCACTTCTCATATCCTCCCGTCCCTTGCATGTCGTCTACACTCTTTTCTGCCAATGAACCCTGTCACTCCCGCCTCATATCCGCTACCTCTGTCCTCCAGCGCGCTAGGTGGCACGTGTGACACGTCTTCAGATCTTTCTGCGCGCCACCCTTTTCTGGTCTCTCATTGTGGCCATCAGGCGGAGCACATGGTGCAGGAGTGGCAGCAGCTGCTGTGGGAGGAGGAGGAGGAGCGCGCGGTGGTGTGGGAGCACTGCCACCACCTCTTCATGTGCCACCGCCTCCCACCACACCGTGCCGTTGCCTTCTTCCTCGCCCATGCTTGCTCTCTTGGCACCCAGCTCTCACGCCCCAGTGCCACGCCTGCTGCTGCGCCTGCCTGTGACAGTGACGCAGAGGACAGGGCTGGCAGCAGGGGGGATGGAGTGGGGGCGGTGGAGGGCAGAGGGGAGGAGGAGGAGAGGGTGGAGGCGGAGACGGACCCCCTCAGTGAAGGCTTGTGGAGTGCCGTGAGCGTGTGGGGGGGAGAAGACGAGGGGCAAGAGGAGGAAGAGGACGAGGAGGTTTGGAGTGAGGCAGGGGAGGAGAGCGATGGTTGGGGCGATGAGATGGAGTGTGCGCAGAGGAGGGCACGGTGTCTGCACCCCGTGCTGCTGCTGGCCCTGCAGTGGAAGCTCAGAGCTTATCACCTCGCCTATCTGTACGGACCACTGCCCCACACCCTGCGCTCCCATGCACGCCCATGCGTATTTTGTTCCGGTATTTCCTTCCGTTGCCTCCTGTTGGCTCTTCTTGGTGCTCATCGCTGCCTCCTCATCCATCTCTGGCCCATCTCCTTCCCGCATCCTGTCTTGCACCGTCTGTTCCCTCGTCACCCCAGCCATGCATGCAGGGCAGCAGCAGCGCCGCACACAGCTCCTGAGGACTGCACAACCCCGCACGCCGCCACCACCACCACCACCACGGAGTGTGAGCTGTGGCTCTCTGCCCTCGCGTGCCGTGTGTGGGAGGTGGCAGCACTGGCAGACCACCCCCTGCCCCCGCCGCTGCACTGCACGCCCTTCCCCGGGCTCGCTGTGCCGCTCTGCTCCCTGTGGCATCGCCTGGCGCGTGGCCCTGTGAGCTCCTTCCTCACGCGCACCGCGCGCGTCATGGCCGCCAACCAAGACGCCCTCTGCGCTGCCGCCGCTGCTCCCCTCCACTCGCCCCCCTCGCCCTCCTCTTCCACAGCCCAGCTGCCACTGCCACCTGTTTGGCCGACCACAGAGGAGGATGCAGCGAGCGGGGAGGAGGAGGAGAGGGCGAGAGAGGGCGTGGTGCAAGTGCTGCTGGAGCGAGGGCAGATGGAGGGAGCACAAGCCGTGTGTGCGCACGTGGGTGGTGGTGATGGCGGGGATGGCACAGCGGAGGCGGATGTGGCGATGGTGGAGGCGGCAGAGGCGATAGCGGTGCATGAGGGCATGATGGACGAGGACATGCACGCCATGGTGCTGCATGCCTGCCGCACATGCCCTGTGGAGGATCACACTCGCCACCTGCTCTTCTCCGACCAACCCTTGGATGTGCGCTGCCATGCACCCCATGGCACCTGCTGCAACTCTTGCTCTCATAACTATTGCTGTGTTTCCTCTTTGTGTTTGTTTGCCGCCTAGTCATTAAGATGCTCCACAAGGTCTCGTCATGCGGTTTATGTGCATCACTGCATGTAACTGTGCCATCTGCTGCATTCGTTTCTATGGTATTCTATGCCATGTCCAGCATACCCATCTCCGTCCCACCTCTCCCCCATGATTCCTCTCCCCCATGATTCCTCTCCCGCAGGTCCTCACAGCCCTCGCCAGGCTCGCCTCGCTCCCCTCTGCCCGTCTCTGCATCCTGCGCTGCTTCGCCCGCCGCCAAGCCATGCAGCTCTTGTCGAACCTCTCTGAACCGCTCTCTACCGTCTCCGTGCCTGCGCTGCTGCGGGCGCTGCTGGCAGAGGGAGAAGCGGCACTGCCAAGTGTGCAGCTGCTGCTGGCTACAGGAGTGCTGTCCGGCGCTGATGCCGTGCCCGCTGTGGCAGAGCGGATTGTTCAGGTCAGTGCTGCTGCTCGATGCCTCCTGCTCGTTCCTCCTTCCATTGTTCCTCGCCCTGCAGTGCGTGTTGCGTGCGCGTTATCCATGCCAATCCATCCCTCTCCCTCGTTTCACCACTCGTTGCATCTATGCGTCCCGCTCCTGTGCGCTATGTGCTGTGCGGTGGTTGCAGGTGATAGACAGCGGGTACAGGAGTGCAGCAAGCACCGCGTGGCGCAGCACGTCATACAGGCGCGTCACGGACGTACGGGGCAGAGGGCACGGTGATGGGCAGGCCGTGCAGGGAGTGGGTGGCGGCAGCACGGCGGCATGGGGTGCAGTCCGACAGGGCAGTGCCAATGTTGCGCGCACTGCATTCATGTCCCCATCGCACCCCGCTGCGCCACCTCCCTCTTCGTCTGCAGCCTCGCCTCGGTCGTTCCACCCGTCCCCCCTCCTTGCACGTGCATCCTCACTGTCATCATCAGCAGCAGCGTCTGGTCGCAGCTTGGGGCGCACTGCCAGTGGCAAGGCGCTGTGGGGGGGGGATGCACCCGGTGCATTGGATGCGGCGTCCCGCCTGCCATGGGACGAGTCCGAAGTGACGGCCCTGCTCTCCCTGCTCTCCCACCGCCCCGCCCTGCCTGACCTCCCTTTCGCACTCCCACCGCTGCCTCCTGCTGCAGCACCAGCCCACACCAGCAGCAGCAGGGGCGAGAGCAGTGAGGCTCCGCCCTTGATTTTCCTGCCTCTGGCCCTGCTTCACTGCCTCAAACACCTAGACAGCGTCAATGCCAACACGCAGGTCAGTCATGAACGCCTCCATGCTGCCGTCTCACCACATCAGCTCTCTCCACTCACCACTTGCTTGCACCAATATTGCAACGCTTGGACCCCCTGCTTACCCTCCACTATTTGACACCAGATTTTCAATGCGTTGCCTCACCTCTTTTGCCTCTATCTCCCCATCCTCTCTGTGATGCTCCCCAACAAATCGGCCTGCGCCCGTCCGTGCCCAGGTTGACGTGCTGCTTCTCGCACACTACACCAGTGTGGCGGTCCCCTTGGCAGCCAATGAGACACTGCCACGTGTCACAGAGGCGATGGTGCAGTGTGCGGTGTCGCTGGCCTCGCCCTCCCTAGCCTCCGCCTCGCTGCGTCTGCTCCTCGCCACCACCAACCCGCGCCCCCTCTGCTTCATCCTCACGCGCCTTCTTGCCTCGGGCCAGCTCGCCTTCCTTCTCTCCCGCCTGCCCGCTGCGGCCTCCGCTGCCCAAGCCGTGCGCTCTGTCTTCCTCCACGCCACCCTCCCTGCCACCTCCGCCAGCAACCCCATGAGCTCCGTTCTCTCCCTCTCCGCCTTTGCGCCGCCCCCCTGTGCCGACACCACCACGTGCGCCACTTGTGCAAGGGGCTGCTTGCCCATTCCCTCAGCCGTGTCCCATGCTCACAGCAGCAGCAGCGCTGGCAATGGCAAGCGGGGCAGCGGCGTTGGTGGTGGGAGGTGCAGTGGAGTGGGGGGGTGTTTGGCGTTGGAGATCCGCATTGCCCTGCACACAGCAGCGTGGAGCCAAGGGCTGTGTGACGACAGCAAGAACCTTGTATGCATTCACTCTTTCATCCCTCCCTTGCTCTTGACGAGTTTCCCCTCCGTTTCTTCCCACGATTGCTTCCTCAAGCACACTGCTTTGATCTCAGTATCCAAGTCAAGCCCAATCTATTAGTGCACGTTCATTTCTCCACATGCGCACACACCGGCATGCAATGTTCACACCACATGTATGCGCGTCCTCTTTCTGCGTGCCACGCTCCTCCCCCCCACACGGCAGGTGTTGCAGCAGCTGGGGCCGGCACGGGAGTTGGCGGAGGCGCATGAGCGACGCGCGGGGGACTACCTGGCGGACTGGCGGGCGCTGCAGTCATCACGCTGGCTGCACGCCAACGACGACGCCGCCGTGCTCATGCTGCTCGACGCCATGCGCTGGCTCACAGCCGCCGCCTCCATGTGGGAGAGCCTGGGGGCCGGCGACAGGGCACGGCGCAGCGTGGCGCAGGCAGCGCTGCTGGGGCTGCAGGTGCACGTGGGGGACACACTCGTGGGGCTCACACCCGCTGCTGCCAGCGTGCTGCTGCAGCAGCAGCACCGCTTCTTTGAGGCACTCGTCATCGCCAACGCCTACGACCTCACCTCGCCTGCCGACTGGTCGCTGCTCCTCTGGACCCACCTGGACCGCTTCCGACCGTCGCCGGAGTTCCTGGACGAGTGGGCGATGGCGGTGCCGATGGCGCTGGACATGCTTCTAGACGTAGCAGAGCGCGTGCAGCACGAGGTGGCCACCAACCGCTCCGCTCACCTTAACCAATTGGCCGGCGCTTTCCGGCACCTGCTGTGGCTCGTGCCGAACCTGGAGGAGCGGCTGCAGCTGGCGACGGTGTCACGTGCTGCACCTGCGGAGGTGGACAAGTGCCTCAGCATGCTGGACCGCGTGCCCGCCACTACTGCCCCGCTCCTGCTGCGCAGAGGCCATGGCGGGGCGTACATGCCAGTGCTGTGAGCGCACATGGGGCTGGGCACGGGGTGGACCGTTGAGGCAAGGGATCAGTGTTCAAGTTCGGTTCGGGCAGTGTGGTGGCTGCTGCAAGGGGGGACTGTTACTGCTCTGGGAAGCACACCGAGTTATGGCACAAGTGATTGCCATTAGATTCTTGCAGGTCAATGCAATAGCTAGATTGTTTCGTGTCATGAGCACACAGATTGCTTGGCAAGGCATTGCTTCAATTTAGTGCCGTTCTTCCATTAGGTGGCCCAGTCGCATAGAGTGAATCTGCTCATGTGGCAACACAACACAACTGACAAAAGGTACCGGTAACAATTCTCACATAAAAAGAACTTGCATTGCCGGACCAATCAAACATTCTAGAAGGTAGAAAAACAGAAAGGACGTCTTCAACACAGAATTAGAGGGAATGCAACGTCTGTTAATAGCATAGAATGGTGCTGCTACCCCAAGACGACGGTGCTTGAAGTGGCCGAGTGGGCTTGCGCTGAGTGGCGCACAGCTTCTGCCTGCAGAGCACTCAACGCTGCATCTCCCGCTCCTGCTGCTGCTGCTTCTTCTGCCATCACACCCTTGCTCGCCTCAGCAGCAGCCCCACCAGCCTGCAGTGCCCTGTGCAGCAGTGCCATGCGCCGAAGCACCACCGCCTTGCCCACCACCCACCCGCTCCTCCCCATGTCCTGCTCTTCCTCCTGCTGTGCTCCTCCCCCTTTCTCGCTCTCTCCTGCCCCTTTCTCGCTCCCTCCTGCAGCACCATCTGGGCTCCCACTGTCATGGCCCCGCCACCTGTCCCGCCATCCCGGCAACTGCCACGTCAGCAGGTAGGCCACGAGTTCACGAGCCACTGGGGTGCGCTGCGCATACCTGGCCAGCCGCCGCGCCACGCTCTCGCGCTGCCAGATGGCAGTCTGTGATTGGGCAAGGGGTTCGCTCGCTTGAGGCTGAGGTTGGTCAGGTTGTGGAGATGCCGCGACACCCACAAGGGTGGGGCAGTCAGAGTCAGGTGCATGGTCAAAGAGGAAGGCGACGAGCAGAGAGGCAGCAAGCGCAAGTGAGAGGGGGTAGTCGGGCACGGCCTTGTGGGGAGAGAGAGGCGTGAGTGGCAGCAGCGGGTCATCTGGCTGGCTCGTTGCTCCGGGTTCATGGGCAGGCTGTGTCAAGGAGGTGGCAGAGGTGAGCAGCGAGCAGCATTTGTCAAGCGCACCACATTCTAATGACTGCATGCATGCCTGCAGCAGCGGCCCCCCTGCACCGCCCACCGCCTGCCCCTGCCCCACGACCAGTGCGTCACTCCCCCCAGCTTCTTTGAAGTGAGGCGAGGCATACAGGTACCCCATGGGGCTGCCAGGACAGAGCGCGAGCGGTGGCAGCAGGTGCAGCACGGAGGCAGCATCGAGGGCACGCCAGGCGGCGAGGCGGATGGGGGGAGCCACGTGGGCGTGCAGGAGCGTGGCGAGCTGGCGGGCAAAGAGCACGTGGCCAAATGAGGCTGCGGCGAAGCGATCAGCGAGGGTTTGGAGGAAGGACTCGTAGAGTGATGGGGGGAAGAGGTGCGGCGGGAAGTCAGGCACCGAGTGCTGTGATGCGAGCTGCCGGGCGTATGCGTCCTGCAGGCATGCGATGGGGCGGGTGAGGGTGGGATGCAGGTAGAGAGGTGGGTCTGCGAGGAAGAGCAGCGAGAGGTGGTGCAGCTTGAGGGATGCTGGGAGGCGCGCCATGTGCGGCGCCGTGGAGGGGTTGGTCTCTAAAGAGGTGAGGAAGGCGAGTAGGCCGTGCAGCGTGTGGAGGGGGGAGAGAGGTGCAGGAAGGGCAGACTCAGAAGGGGCTGTGGTGTGGGTGGCAGATGCAGTAGCGGCCATTGCAGCGGCAGCAGGCAGCGGGATGAGGAGCCAGGCCGGAGGGAGAGGAAGGCTGCAAGCATGCCATTGGAGCAGCAGTGGCTGCGCTGCCACACATGCACCCTGCAGCAGGAACGATCCACTGCTGCTGCTCTCCACACCTAAAACACTACTGGCGGTGGTGGTGGTGCTGGTGGAAGTGGTGGTGATATCAGCAACAGTACCGCCTGCTGTCCCTTCCCCTGCTTCCTCCTCAAACCTCACTCTCCTCTCGCCATCCTTGCAACCTCTCTCCTGCTGCACCTCCCCTCCTTGCTCCACTCCTTCCATCTCCTCCTCCTCATCCTCCTCCACTTCCTCCACTGCAGCCAGCCGCCCTCCCACCCGCTCTCTCCGTCGCCCTCGCTTGCCCTTGCTTGCTGCACTCCCTGCACCTGTAAGAGCAGTGTGAACGGAGTGGCGGCAGAACCACAGGGCCTCCAGCAGCACCCGCACACCCACTCCACCACCACCACCGCCACTCTCCTCCACCCCCTCACCCCTTTCCCCTTTCGTCTCCACCTGGACTTTTTCACCCGTGCTGGATGGCACAGGCGGTACAGCAGGGGAGAAAGCGAGGACGCATGGAGAGAGCAGCGTGTGCAGCAGAATGAAGGCTGCAGGTTCAGCGTCTGCGGGCCCTGCACTGCCTGCCACCGCAAAACACACCTCCACCAACTCTCTTGCACTCACTCCCCTCTCCCCCGATTCATTCCCACTCACCCCTAACCCCTCAGGCTGCATGCACCTCTGTGTCTGCAGCAGCGCCAGCAGCGCTGCCACCATGGCAATGTGCTGTGAAGACAGCACCGCCTCCACTCCCCACCACCCCTCCCCTCCCTGCGCCCCTCGCCCCCCCCATCCCGCCCCCACCCCTGGCGCTGGCCCCCCTCTCTCCGTGCTGCCCTCGCGCCACACCAGCGCCCCAGCACCCCCTGCACCAGCGCCCCAGCACCTGCGGTGCGCGGCAGGTGAGAGGGGTCTGCCTGCTGCTCTGGTGGAGAGCAAGCGAGCTGAGGAGGCCAGCAGCGGCACCAAGGATGGGATGCACGCAGATAAAGCTGCTGCCGCTCCCGCTGCTGCTGCTGCTGCTGCTGCCCTGGATGATGGTGATGATGGGGGTCGTGCCATGGACGGTGGAGATGGTGCTGCGGAGGTGTGGGTGGCAAAGGGCGGGCATGCATGGTTGTGCAGCAGCAGGCAGCCCAGGAGGCGCAGCATGCCGTGTAGGCAGCTCGTACTCGCCACTCCCAGGTCACACGGCAAACGCGCTGCTGCCATCAGCAGGTGAAAGGTGGGCGAGGCAGGTGGGAGAAGTGCAGGTGGAGCGTGTGGGGAGGATGTAGGGGTAGAGGGTGACACGCAGGGCAGCAGGCCAGATTGCAGGAGGGCGGATGTGATGGCGTCAATGAACGGAGGGCGCACAATGGGTGCCTCCTCCCTTGCATGCGCCCCACTTTGCTGCCTGTGCTCTGCTGGCTCAGCTGCTGCATGGAGCGGCGTGGTGGGCACGGCACGAGTGACAACAGTGGCGAGGCAGTGCAGCACTGCCGCCACTGCTGCTGCCTCCTCTGCCACCCCCCTCATGCCTGCAACCCCCACACCATCTCCCTCCCTCCCACCCCCACCATCTACTTCCATTCCATCTGCCTGTGTGCCTTCCCGTGCCTGTCCATGCTGCTCCGTGCAAGACTGCGAGTGAGGGTGTGTGTGAGAGTGCGAGTGTGCGAGTGCAGCACGGAGGCCAGCAGCGAGGCGAGCAACAAGGCACGGCTGCAGCCAGCGCAGCAGCATGGGCAGCAGTGCCACAACCACGCTCCACCCAATACTGTCTCCTGCCTGCCACTCTGCCTCAACGCACTCCCCATCACCATCCCCGTCGCCCACAGGCACCACGCCTCGGAGCCGTGGCAGCGCACAGCACAGCGCCTCCAGCACCAACACCGCCTCCCGCCCCACACACACCTCCGCTCCCCCCCATACGCCCTCCCCTTCCGCCTTGGCCCCCTCTTGTCCAGCAGCAGTGGTGGCGGCGGGGAAAGGGGGGTCGAGGAAGCGAGAAAAGAAGAGGGAGTAGTCAGAGAAGAGGTGTGCAGTGAGGCCCTGGCGCGCTAGCACTCGCCACAGGGCGAGCACCGCCAGCACTGCTGGGAGCGACGCCAGAGAGAGTGCGGCGGAGGAGGGCGGTCGCGGGAGGGGGAGGAGCAGCAGGTGGTGCAGGGTGAGGTGGATGAGTTCAGAGGATGCCACGTGGCGGGCGATCATTGGGCTGGCTGCACTGCACGCCTGGTGGGGTGGGTGTGTGAGGGAGTGGGATGGAGAGTGGTTGGTGGATGGAGGAAGGGATGACGGGAGTGAGTGAGAGGCAGGGAGCAGGGGAGAATCGAAGAGCAGCAAAGGAGATATGGAACACTTCACGGGACGGATGGGCAAGGAAGGAAATAAACAGAGGCGAACACGCAATGCAGGGAGGAGCCCCCACGAATGGCGTATGGCATTGCCACCCCAGTGCCCTGCCGGCCTTGCCTTGATAATGTCGGTGGCGGCAGGCAGTAGCTCAGGGCTGCTGGGGGCAGCGAGGATGGCCGAGAGGGGCGAGTGAGCGGCCATGGACGAGGAGGAGGAGGAGGAGGGGGTGGGCGGTGGGGGAAGCAGGTGGAGGGAGTGAGCGAGGGCGGTGGCAGCAGCGGGGGAGTGGTGGGCGATGCAGAGGGCGACGTGCAGGCACGGCAGGTGCAGGTGCGTGTGGTGCTGCAGAGGCGAGTGCGGCTGTGGGCAGGTGCACACGGAGGGGAAGAGGAGCATGGCGCATGTGGGGGAAGGGAATGCCGCTGGGGTTAGAGGGTGAAACGGTAACACAGATTGGCAGTGGCTCATGTGCGCAGAACCCTTATCATGAATAGCAGAATTGGGAGAAATGAAGAGGAAGGGGCGCAGGGACCTGGAGCAGGTAGGCGAGGCGGGGCAGGATGCCCATGCGGATGAGCCCCGCGCACACGTCCCTGCACGCCACGTTCGCATCACTGCCCACCGTGCGCTTGTCGCCCTCCCCTGCGCCCTCCATGCCCACGCCACCAAGCCCCATGCCCTCTGTGCCGCCACCCTCCTCCTCCTCCTCGTCTTCCTCGTCCTCCCCATCTTTGCCGTCAGCATGGGCAGGCAGCAGCAGCTCGGAGCAAGCCACGTTGCGGCGCCAGTGGTGGGCGCGCGCGAAGGCAAGCAGCAGGGAGGGCGCAGAGGCGAGCGCAGAGGAGGGCGAGGAGGAGGAGGCGGTGAGGGGCTTGGGCAGGAAGGAGGCGGCGGCCTTGGGCTTGTGCACGGGGGCTGTGGCTGTGATGGCCTCCCCTCGCCACACACTCTGCTGGACCGATAGAGAAGCACACCGTTGCAGCGCGCACAGGCAGTGAATCGCCCCCAGAGGGGGTCGAGAGCGAGGCCAGAAGGGAGGGGGGAGGGAGGCCATGCGACGGAAAAATGGGGAGGAATGGTGTCACACAGATGGGGAGGTGGGGAAGAGGGACTGAGAGTTAGTGACGAGTGATGACCGCATGTGGCTTCTCATCAAGCCCTTGCACTGGGTGTGGGAATATGGATAGCCAAGGCAAGGGGTGCAAGGGAGGCGGATGAGGGGCGAGGGGCAGGGAATCGACCTGAGTGAGGGAGAAGAAGCGGTGGTTGGGGGCGAAGGAGAGGACGTGCAGGGCGAGGGCGAGCGCAGCCGCGATGACCTGGATGTGCTCGTGGTCCAATGCTAGGCTGCCCCGCCATGCCATGCACATGCACGCACCACACATGGACATGGTGCTTAGTGCGGTTGGACGGGGATGGAAGCATGGGGGCAGGAGAGGATGATGGGGGCAGATGGGTGGAGTTGAAGGGGGGAGCAGGTGGAGAGCAAGGTGCGAGGTGCACAGCACAAGGGCACGCAAGGTAAAGGGGTAAATGAGAGTTCTGGTTGTGAGTATGCAGGCGTGGGAATGGAAGAAGGAGTGCAAGAGAGTATGGTCCGATGGGGTTAGGCCGCAAGGAGGCTCACCGCAGGGCGAGCAGCAGCTGCACCTCGTGGCTCAGCGCATATGCCCACACCGCCTGCCAGTCCTCCTCCTCCTCCTCCAAGCCCCATTGCCCCGTCTCCCCTCCACCACCAGCCACCTCACTCGACAAGCTGCCCCCCACCATGCCATCACCGCACCCGTCACTATGGCTTTCATCCCTCCGTGTGTGTGTGTGCGCTGCCCGGGCGAGCACGGCAGACAGCAGGGCGAGCCCGGCGGCGGCCTGGGCGGGCACGTGGCTGCGCGACAGCGCCACCGCCTCGCGCACCGTGTACCCCGCCCTTCCTGGCTGCGCGCCCGTCCTCAGCCAGTCCCGCTCCGCCACGTGTCGCACCGCTAGGTCACGCACCGCCATGCCTTGCGGTGAGTCTGCAGTAGCAGCGGAGGAAGATGGGGAGCGATGAGGAGTTGGAGAGGCGAGGGAATGGAGAGGGCAAAGCATGGGGCGCACAAAGGCATGTGATTATGGTGGCATCACAGTTGAGCAAATTGGCACCACACCATGACGCATGCCACGCATGCCAGCATGCCACCCTTCATGCATGCATGCATGTATGCACGGGCACAGTACCCTGGTCAAAGTGCATGGCAGCTTCAGCCGGCACCCCGAGAGCGCTCTCTGCCTCCCGTGCCACGTCAGCTGGGACTGGCCGCCCATCCATTGCAAACCGCACACTGCGAATGCGCTCCACTCGCTGCTCCCACGTGGCAGGCCGGTCATGCTGACGTGGCAGTGGAGGGCCACTGGCAGGTGGATGCTGAGAGAGTGGTTGCTGGGAGGAGTGCAGCGATGCACCGCCACTGTCCCCACCGCTTCCACCATCCACCTGCATTTCCTCCTGCTGCTGCTGCTTCTCCTCCCCCGCCCCACCACTGCCTGCTCCACCACTCACCCCTTCCGACCTGCTCCCTTGCCCTGCCCCTGCCCCTCTGCGCCGCTCCTCCTTCTCCCTGCCTCGCCGCCTGAGCATGTCCAGAGCACCCGGGGGCAGGCGTGCCATGAGCTCTGCCTGTGCCTCTGCTATCTGCGCCGCACTCATGCCGCTCACTACACCCCTGTTCGCCTCGTCTATTTCCCTCTGCTCCTTTGTTTCCCCTACCCCCCTGCCACCGCCTCCACCAATCGTTGGTGCGGCTGTGCCTCTCTGTGCTCCGCTGCTCCTGGGCATCACAGCAGCAGCAACCCCCACCCCCGCCCCTGCACCAGCAGCACGAGCAATCAGCCCCTCCCTCGCTGCCCTCTCCTTATTGCTCACATGTGCTGCTCTGCCTTGCGCGCCTGCTGCCGCCATGCCTTCATCCACAACCATCGCCTCTCCCTCCACCACCCCCATCCACCCCTCCTCCCTCACTCTCGCACCTTCCCTCTCCCCTTCCCTCCCCTCCAGCGGCCCCTCCACCCCCATGCTGATCCTGCTCCCCTCCGCCTCTTGATGCGCGCCTGCTGCCCCTCTCCCCCCACCCCTTGCCTGCTGTGGGCGCAGAGGCATGGCTGAAGCAGCAGCAGCAGCAGGGGGGGGCAGTGCAGAGGGGTCGTGGGCAGGGCTCAAGGCGGCGAGAGGGGGTGTATGCACCGCTGCTGGCTGCCAGTGCTGTGGGGAATGGGATGTGCACGAGGTTAGCAAGGGAACAGAGGGACTTAGCACAAGCAGGGGTTTAGGACAGCCAGGGGTTCAGGGCGAAAGGCAGAGGTTTAGGGAAAACACAAGTTGAGGCGACCATGGGTTAAGGTGAGTAGGGGTTTAGGGAGATAAGGGGTTTAGGGCGAAAAGAGGTTTAGGGCGAGAAGAGGTTGAGGCGAGAAGGGGTTTCAGGCGAGAAGCGGTTTTGAGCAAGCGATAATTTAAGGCAAGGAGAAGTTTAGGCCGAGCAAGAGCTTATGACGAGCAGGGCCCAGGGGTTAGCGTGCAAGAAAAGCACAACCACCCACACCCACCCACTCAGCCGTATCGCCGCCCCACAAGCACCCCGCTTTCCCCCTCCCAGTCACACGAACTCTACCCCCCGAGCACGCACAGGGCCCTCCGCACGGTGACGGGCGACAGGGAAGGCGAGGGCGGACATGGGCAGGGGGGCAACGGGCGCGGACGGGCGCGCAGGGGCGTCGCCAAAGCCCTTCTCGCGGATTCCGCCCAGTACAGTGAGCGGACGGTACTCCCCTTCACCGTCCCCGCCCTGTAACCCGCCCAACCCCATGCTCCTCTGCTCCTCCTCCCGCTGCTGCTGCTGGCGCTGCTGTTTCCGCCGCTGCAGCTGCTGCCTTTCTTGCTGCTTCCGCCGCTGCTGCTCCTCGCTGCCGCTCCCCCGCCCTCCTCCGCGCGCCAAGTGCACTGGTGCGCCCAAATTTCCGCCTGAGACTGCAGAGACAGGAAAGGGGAGGAAAAGGGTGGAGGGAGTGTGGGCGGCGGGTGGATAGCCCCATGGGAGGGCGCGGAAAGAGGGCCCCATTGGGGAAATGATTGGGAGGGGACCTACAGAAGCACGAGATGCTGAGGGAATTGCAGTGGGAACAGGGGGGCACGTGTAAGGGTGTGCACGCCGCACGGTACGGGGAGAGTGTGGTGGGAAGCAGCATGGCGCAGGGGGCAGACGAGCGGGGGCAGGGAAGGATAGGAGACGGTCCCGGGTGGCGCGCGCGGCGAAAGGCAGCTATGGCCAGTGGGCGGACACCCGCAACAGCACGAACCCGCATCACTAGACTGCGCGTCGACGTCCGCGCTATTGAGTCGCACGACAGTGGCGGCGGCCGGCTGCCGGCCCGCCATGAACTCCGCCTGCTGCCGTTCTAGCTCCTCGTCGCTCATGTCGCCCCGCCGCAACCCACGGCGCGACGCCATGGATGGCCGATCGGTGCCGCCGATAGAAGAGAACGACGATCAGTAGACTTCGGAGCCGTACGGGAGAGTCCGCGGAGCGCAGCAGAAGGCGACGTGTTGACAAGCACCTGTCGGATCGACAAATTTTGAAGGACTGGCGCCCTGTGCAGCACTCAAATATCAAGTGGGGTTGATGTGGAAAAAATTTGGCGATATTTTCACCCAGCATTTTGGGTGACATTTTCAGCGGATAAACCTCGACGTAGATTTTGTGGCGGTTTTTGCGCAATGGTTTTGGGTGGGCAGATTCCTCAGGCGAACATTGGCGACAGATGTAACACCACTTCCAACTCTCGCAACAGTTGACATCAACAAAGCCCTCAACACATCTTTTCCCCAGCTGGAACCATCCATTCGCACATTTCCTTTCCATCTGGTCTTCCTGCCCCTCACCACACCACCACGCGCTCATCTCCCCGCTGCCACATCTTTCCCGCCGCGCGAATCCACTATGACGGCCGCAGCTGCGAGTGAGTTGCTGCGCGCTGTGCATCGCCGCTGGTTCCCGCCTTGCGCGCTGCGCTTGGCGCTTGCGATGCGTGTGACTTGGGACTCGATGCTGCCAGTCGTACTGTTCTAGAGACGCGTGTCGTGAGCTGCTGCGAATCTCGGTGTTCCTGAGGCGTTCTCTCAGATTCCTCAATACGGCTACTCGGTGGTCAGAGGCGTGTTTTGAGATCTGCCAGAATGGCCACACACTGTGTGCAGTACGCGAGTCTCATCTTCCCCGTCCCTCCCTGTCCTATCGCCCTCTCAGGTGCGTGTCGGCTAGCCGCCCTTCCCGCATGCTTCGCCGCGTCTCGCGGCAGTCGACAAACCGCCGAGCGCCGAGCGTGCTGGTCGCCGCTGGAGGCGGGCGGGCGATGCGGAGCTCGGGTGGTCGCCATGGCGAAAGGCGGGAAGGGTGGGAAGAAGAAGGGCGGCTCGGCAATTCCCAAGGCGGGGCAGGGGAAGAAGAGCGCGGAGGGGGGTGCGGCTGTGGACGAGTCGCGGCCGCCGTACATGAATGCTGACATCATCATGCACTCGCTAGAGCTCATCGACAGGTTGGCAGGGATGGCCGGGGACGGCAGGGTTGGAAGGGGATGGGATCGGATCAGAAGGATGGGACTGCATGGAATGTCAGGCGATGGGATGAGGTGGCATGGGATGCAGGCGTCATCTGCTCACCCATGCGCTATGTGCTCCGTGCTGCTGCCATCGCCTCACCATGCTGCATCACACGCTCCATCGCTTCCATCCACCTCGCCTCCCTGCCTCTGCTCCAACGTCCCACCTGCTCTCACGCACGCACTCCCACCCAACCAACACTCTCTCCTTTTCCTTGCTCCCCTCCCTCCCCGCCATTTCCGCCCACCTCATCCCGGGGTGCACGTGTGGTGGCAGCTACTACCGGGCGACGGGGAAGCCGCTGTTTGACAAGCCGGTGGAGGTGGCGGAGGCGGCCAAGGAGCTGTGGAGCGCGCCCTTCCTCGTGCTCTCGCACGGCACCGAGGACGACCCCCTCTTCAACTATGGTAAGCTGCCCCGCCATGCCATAGGGTGTCATGGGATGCCATGGGGTGTCATGGGATGCCATGGGGTGTCATGGGATGCCATGGGGTGCCATGGGATGACGTGGCATGGCCTGGCACTGCATGGTTTGGAATGAGATGAGACATCACCATGCCATGTCGCTCCGCTGCTGAGGATTGTCGTTTCCACGATGCATGCGCTGTGCGCTGCAGCCTCGCTGTCACCTCATGCCCCCACGCCTGTCACAGCACCATCGCACATATCTGCGCCATGCTGCCCCACCTCATATCTTTCCCCTTTGCCCTTCTCCTCCATCCCCTCGCCCAAACCCCCATCTCTGATTCTCTTCTCTCCAACACCCCCAACCTTCCACGTCCCCAGCCAACGAGAGTGGGTTGCGTGCGTTTGAGAGCACGTGGAGCGAGTTCACGGCACTGCCATCGCGCTACTCCTCGCCCGACCCCGACTCGCCCTCACGCAAGGAGCTGCTGCAGCAGGCCGAGGAGGTAAGGGGGGCTCTGGGGGGAGAGGGGGAAACAGGAGTTGGGAGTGGGGGGGAGAGGAAGGGTTGGTGGGGAATGTTAGGGTTGTAGACGTTGCAATGGCATGAGGGGGGTGATGGAGCGAGGAGTGAGGGGCAGCAGGATGTGAGTGCTGCTGGTAGTGGGAGCCTGGTGTGAG